AAATGAGCAAAGTAAGTAATTTGAGAAAACCTTCAAAATAATAGTCTAGGGTGATGTTATGACAACCTTCAAATTACTGAATTCTGTGGTAAATTCCATGCAAGGTCAAACAGTTGATTGCTTTGACATTACAGCTGTGTAAATTTACAAAGTGATGTCACTTCACTTGTGGGGTTTTATGTGGATATTTGTATATACACATGTACATGCACAATGCAAGCCTTGATCAAATAGAAAAAGTTGTGATATTTTACCAGTTGCAAATATACTGGGTAATGTATATGTACTTATTACCTTGATGAACCATATTTCAGGCCATAGGTCGGCCAGGCTGGTGTATTGGGATGTTGGCGGATGGTACAACTGGACTGTATCCCCAGAGTCATGTAGTGGATGCTTCCAACCGACAGTCCGTCGTGTAGACAGGTCGGCTGAACCGTCTTCCTTCTGGATATATCTGTCAACAGTGCCTGAACATCTGCTGAATAGTTCTTTGTATATCTGAAGATTGATGCCTCCAACTGACAGTCCGTCGTGTAGACAGGTTGGCTGAACCATCTTCCTTCAGGATATATCTGCTGAACAGTTCCTTGTATATCTGTAGATCTGATGCCTCCAACTGACAGTCCGTCGTGTAGACAGGTCGGCTGAACCATCTTCCTTCAGGATATATCTGTTAACAGTGCCTGAACATTGCTGAACAGTTCCTTGTATATCTGAAGATCTGACCAAGTGTATCAACTTGCCCACCCAACCTGAGGACGACAGTGTTCACATTGGAATCATAAGGATGAGCTAATTTCTGGTTTTCAGAGTGAAGTCACTTTGTATGATCATAGAGTTCCCAGCATTGTGTGGAATGTGAGGTTTACAGATTAGCAAGGTTTCAGTGGCTGCACCAAGCATCCTGCTGATTGTCAGAAGACTACCAGGTTACGGATACACTCAAGGAAAGAATCTCTAACTCTGTGCCTGTGTTGTCTACTGGTCCAGACAAAGTTGTTGTGTCAAGTCATGTGGATTACGTTCTAACCTGCAGGACATTTGACTGGATTTGTACTGAAACATGGTTCAGCACAGTGGTTTGTGTGATACAAGGCAGTCCAGGTTGTGGACACCGAATACATCAGTAGCCATGTATATGACAACGATATAGTTCAGGCTCCTAGAGGAACTACTTTACCAATTCCTCACTGGATATTTGAACATTCTTTCAGCTTGAATCTCACTGTACAATTTATCATAACATGCACTCGACTCTTGAGGAAGCAATGTGTGACCTGATATATACTCTTCACTGTTCCTGAGTAGTATTTGAGATACATATTTTTGAATACATGTTTGTGAAAGATGGCTGTGCTATGAATGGAATGCTTAGACTTTTAGTATATCCTGGTAGAACTACCACAATTGCCATGATGAGTGCCTGTGTGTGGTTGGAAAACTAACAAAGGGAGTGCTTAGTAAAACTAAACACAAGTTCAGATTGTTGTTTGAGATAGCAAGAGCAAACATGTATTAAACTTAAATGTTTGGATAATAGTTCCAATGCAGTTAAATACTTAGTCTACACTACAGAAAACACAAGAAGAAAGCTGGCAGAAGTTTGTCAGGTAGCTTATTATGGCGAATTTGATTAGTAAAATCTATCATCAACTGTTGTACTCTCAGTGCAGGTCACAAGCATTTGTAGCAACCTCTATTCATAGAGTGGACTTGGGTGAACATTTGGTAGATAGGCCTATGATGTGGTCTGGATAATAGTGTCAGTATACCATGACAGCATTGTTGGTTTGTTCATGATGTCCACCACTGGTTTACTTGGCTCTCGGACGTGTGTGTGTTTACAGGCCGATGTGATACTGCTGTTGTAAACATTCACTCCTACAGGGTTCTATACAGGGTTCCATATTAGAAATAATGTATGGCTAGCATTTCATTACTGTGATAGCAAGATTACATAAAGTAGGGGAACCTCGACACTCAACCAGTGGCCCATCATACAGTTCCTGGGAAATCAGTAGGTGTCAGTTCAACTTGTTGACAGTTTTCATAATGGTTTTTTTTTGAGTTACTCTCTCTATGGTTAATATATTTTTATCAATAAGTGGGTTGTCTGCTTCAGTTATTTGTAGACAGTTGAAATATTGCTGAGTGCAAAATGAGGCAAAACAGAAAGTTAAGGGTAAATTTATGTAAAAAAAATATTTTTGTCTGGCCTTGTTATAAATAAACTTGGATATGTGGTCATATATAAAATCACAGAGATATCCTGGCAAGACGACCATGTTTGCCCAGTTTACACACTGCCTGCAATTAGTGAAGTGTGACGACTCTTTCGTACAAATGTTTGTTTCTTGACAATTTCAAGCATGTTCCTAGGAACGTGCCACATCCTAGCCTTGAATCGGAACCTAAGAGTGTGGGTTTGAATCCTGTGTTGCCATGGTTTCTAGGTTTGTCACCAGAGTGGTCAACGTTTGACGATCTGTATATCTTCACGTTTTTATCCAACGTGAAGTACTGAATGTTATTATCTGAGAATAGAGGAGAATGTGTGTGTAAATACACTTTTTGTTTTTGTGAAAATGTACAGTTTTAATAGTTTTTAACATGACATTTACAATGTTTCTTAATGTAATCTGTTCAAATCCATTTTAAATCTTGGATCTGTTTTACACCACCATGTAACTTTTGCACACCTTGTTGCCAAAGAAATGCATTTTACCACGTCGTGTTATCCTATGTAGCTGTGTATAATCTGTGCCAAATAAGTGCTTAGGATGCATGTATAATACTGACAATGTTATTGTATCATCATGTGCCTAATATTTATATGTACGTCTTCCGAAGTGCCTTCATATTTTTGTACAATGCTAAACCACAGTTGTGCCACCACCATTTATATACTCATAGTGCCAGCACTAACACAACACGGTCTGGAAGACTGTAACAGTTGTAGCAGGATGTCTGATCCCCACTATGTTGAACAGAGGCGAGGTAAAATGGGGGTTTAACCCCCGTATCAGATAGATGCACTTGTTTAGTGACATGCATGCACATATGTCTGTTTGTATTAGCCTAAATACCAGTTTTATAGTACAACCTGCTGATATACCTTGTTTAACATGAATACTCCACTCAGAAACAGTATACCGACTTGGAGACAGCCAGTCCTTTTTACACCAGACAGGGAAACAACAAGTAGCATCTGTAACATGTTTTAGTATGATAAGGGCATGGATTAAACCCCAACCCACTGGTCTGCTGGCTTTCTATCCACTACAGATTTGTGAATAGTTGCACTTCATGACTGTCTGGTTCATGTACACCCGTCAGCTTAAGAACCAGGACCCCGTTTCATAAAGCTGTCATAGCACTACAACTGCCGTAAGTCTATGTTACAGTAGGAGGTACGACAGTCATAGCGCTACGATAGCTTAGTGAAACAGGCCCAGGTTTGAATTGGTCCTGAGCAACCCTTTAATGGGATATGGTTGTCAGGCTTTGATTGAAGATCATGTGAGTCACTGGATTGTCTAGTCCAGACTCGACCATCTACCGACAGCCATCTTAGAGCTGGAACATTGCTTGTTTCATACAACAAACAAAGCATCCTGGGCCTCCTATCACGAAGCACTAAGGTGATCGTAAGTCACTAAGGTAACCTTAGTGCAGTGTTAAAGAATGGGAGTTAAGGTTAACCTTAGTAAGAGTTGCTTCGTGAAATGGTTTGTTTGGTTTGTTTGATCACTGTATGATGTGTTTGTGGTGTTAGAAAGGACAGAAGCTAAAGGATGGCCTCCTACAAAATATATCTTCAAAAGTCTCCTTACTTCAGTTCTTTCACAGGATATTAGTATAACTAGGTTTCCACGGTTACCTAGATGACTGAAGCAGTTTAGATCAAACAAACTGATTGAGCACTGATCAAATGTTTATATATAGCAACAGCACTTGGATGACTTGAAGGCAAGACAATTTAGTCTGGTGCTGTATTTATTGTTTCATAATGATCTGGTTGAGACAAAACAATTATCTGTACAGTCAACAATAATGTCAACCCTTAACCAGACTGGAATATTGTTGTACAGCCTAGAATATTGCTCATTATGGAATAATACCCTGAAGTATTGCTGATTGTGGAATAACTTGCCGAAGTAGTATCTTGTTGAAACATATATCATGTGACCAATTTGAGACCTCAGTTTGCATAGTATTAACCATTACCATAGAAACTGTAAATAGTATTAACACTTCTCAACAGTCAGTGCTTTCTACTTATCAAATACTGTGTACTCATGGTGATTCACTATATTAATACCCTGATAAGTACTCTTATTAAATCTTACCTGTTATTTCTTCATAATTTTAAGCATAGAATTTGCAGATTAAATTTATGGAGTCGGATTAATCTATTTTAATTGATGGATAATGATAGGTTAGGCCAGACCAGACCAATTTTATTTCTTGTTTTACGGATTTTGTCCTCAGAAAACCTAAAGGCAGGAGGGGAAAAAAAAAAAAAATCACCGTCAAAGTAATATTCCTTCTAAATATTACAATTATTTAACTTCTGGCAATTTATGAAGTGTATAAGGGGGCCAAAACAAAAAATTAAAAAAAACATTTCTTGTAAGTTTACATTTTTGGATAATAAAAACAAAAGGATTTTATTTTTTGAGCGGGAAAAATTAATTTATATTTTTTTTCTTATTCTTGAAATAATACAACCGGTGGATCAGTAAAACAAGAAATAAAATTTGTCTGGCCTTAGTTTAAAAGAAAAGTGTATAGAATAAACAAGGACAGATCTGGAGATAGAAGAACAACAAGATTGAAACACACAATTCTTATTACTAGAGTTATATATTATGCAACGACAGATTAACTATAATACTGTTCCTTAACCTCTTTTGAGTACCATATATACAAATGTGATCAAAGAGGATGGGTGTAGTCTTCACATGAATACTGCCCCAAACATGACAAACTAGCTAGACTTTGTGTATTAGTTTAATGAGATGTATTTTGTATACTATGTACACATGGTGCCTGTTGAACTGTCACCATGACGCTGACTTCCATACCAATCTGTGCAATGCTTCAAATCATACTCATATTTAATGGTTGATATTGTATACATACACAGTTTTTAAGTAAATCATTACTGAAAATTTAATTTGTTGAGTTTTGAATTTTTTCACAGCAGACACACCAACTCAGCTATGCACATGTATGTACAGCGACAACTGGCTGCCTGTACCTACAGACAACAGAATAGAGGCTGCTGTAGGGACACAGCGTGTTTGATAAACTGTCATACAATACAGTCTTACATGACATAGTCCATACAGTGAGTGAGAATGATTTTATGCGGCCTTAGCAATGTTCCAACGATATCATGGCAGGGTAGACCAGAAATGGGCTTCACGCATCCATGGCGTGTCTTCGGCATGACGAGCGAACATTTTAACCACTACATACAGTCACATATCAACACAAAATATGCCCAAATATGTCCACTGTGGCAATACAAGCCTACAGATCATTACATTTCAAGAAGCACCTGTTCCACGTACTTCCGTATACTAGAAAACTAAGACAGGCTTAGCATCATGTGACCGAGACAGGTCGGGTGTATACTCGTAGCTTGTTCCGCAACAGGCTGATGGTGATAGGCATTGCCTCGAAGGCCTCTCCGTCGATGTTGAACCACTGACCTTCACACTGGAAAGGAGGAGTTCAAATTAGGGCACAACGTGGGTTTATCCCTGATTATTTCAACGTGATGTTTAAGGAAAGGCCAAAGTGCAAGATCAAAAATACTTTTCACTTTTTGCATTATATCTAGTTTCATAGTGGATCCTGGCACGGTTAAGGGAAGTAACACAAAACAAGTTATAGCGACTACAACCACACATGCCCCTATTATTTTACGTGTCAACAATTTATCTGTTGTTTCATTTCGAATGTCACTGACCAGCATTAAAGATAGGTCAAAGGGTTACTGGAGCGTTTCACTAAGTTAATGATCAATACAATAGGAGAGGTATGAATGGAAGGAATGAAAGCTGATCATAAAGATCAATGTATTTATTTGTATTTCTGACTTTTCATAAAAATATTTCTGCACACATACCTAACACTTATGTTTACAAATATTGTGTCACAATACATTAAAACAAGGGCTTAAAAACAATAAAACAAATTCATAGTTTGTGATCAACTTCCTTGCTATTATTTTCCAATATCGACTTCTCAGGAAAGTACTTTATGACCCAGACAATATATAACTTACAGTTTCTTGATCAGGCACAAGTCGCATAGACTTCACATGAATCTGTTCATTGGAGTCAGTTCCTAGGGAGAGAGTTGTCTCCCTCTTCTTCACTCTCCTCCATCTGATAAAACCGACGATGCATTCCAGATGTATAGCGGGTTGTAAAATTATAATTTACATTATACCCTTTGCCTGGACCTATGTTTACTTGACAATAATTTACTTAATTCATATACAGTAAAAATAATAAACTTGTACAAAATTCAAGTCAGCCAAAATGGAGATTACTGTATCCTGGCTGTGCAAGTGACTGGCCTTGTTGTCTACTCTAATGATTACAGCATACTGGAACATGGCTTTTCAATGAGTAGAAACATTGATGCACATATTTCAAATGACATACCCTTCCGATATTAACTCCTGTCGGCCAGGTTCTGCAGGTCCAATGCCAACCGCTAAAGATGGAACTGTATTCTGAAACATCAATGTTGTGTAGGAAGAAACTCGGGTATATGAGGAGGCTTTGATCGGTGACATATATGTTCTTCTCAGATCTATATGGACCATTGTGGGGAGGTGAACCCAGACCAAGGCCTCACAAGCAAACACTTTAACCACTAGTATACCAAACCTCAACGACGTGGTCTCCAGTACCAACAGACAGTATACATTGAACTGTGGAATCAACCGACGACAGATCTCCCAGAGATAGGACTGTCTACTTTATCAGGCCTCGTATATCTTGTGTGTTAAACTGTTTAAAACTAAGAAAAGCAGTACATTTCTCAGAACAGTTCTTACTATTCAATTTTTAGTAAATGTGGATGTGGTATTATCTGTTATGAGGCATGGTATGATCTAGGGGAGGTAACTCTGTTACGTGATGCGCATTGCACATGTAAGGATTTCACATGAGATAAAGAGCATGTACTCACGCAAAAAGCCAAATGAAACCATTCCTGACAAAAGTTTGGAACCTCGTCAAAGCTTGTGCTACAATAGGGGTGATGGGGTTACCTCATTCTTGTAATTTGAAGACATGACCGTCAGCTCAACTGCAGCAATATCTCGCTCTTGTTCTGCATCCGTAGAGCTGTCCATGACAAAGTCACTTGTTGACGCTGGAAAAGCAGAGTGTATGGACTCGTACTTGGACTCGTACTTGGGATGCAAAGTCTCATCACAGCTTTCTAAATTCAGGTGGACAGGTACAGTTTAATCTCAAAGCCATACTGTGAATGTAGCATATGTTCTATTTGGGTTTGGGGACTAAGTGCAAGGAGGGGGCCTCACTCTAAGACTGTGGGTTCCGATCCCAGATACTACTTACCCCGAAAGTACTAGAGTCGTTACTTTTCTGAAAGAGTGTAATCCTAAGAACCATAACTGACCTAACATGACTTTAAATGGAAAAAGAACACATCTGTCTTCTCCAAATTTCAGTTTTGTCAGACCTGTTGGCCCACCTCCGCTATCCTTGTCCCGCCCCTGACAGTACATACCAGCAGGTTTAGGTGACTGGTTGTACAGCAGCCCAAGCCAACTCCATGTTCTGGACTTGGGTGGAGCTTCAACTTTGGGAGCCACGAGTTTGGTGTTCTCTGATGTTGCCTCCACGTAACTCATCTTCCCTTTGAAGTTGGCCGGCCAGTCGTTCCTCAGTGTGGTTCGGATATATGTCCAGTAATGCTTCAGTGGGCCAAAATACCAGTTCCTGTAATGCAGTTGAGATGCTCTACTTCAAGCAAGCATGTACATAAGAATGGGAAGCGTTGATAGGACAATGATGCTGTGTATCATTATGTGTTATCTGTACAGAGTGTCTAGAAGCCTTGTGTTGAGATCAGATTACCCAGACTCATTCCTCACAGCCAAACAGTCACCTACTTGACCTTCCTCTGTTCAGCATCTCGGTACAGCCCTGCTTCCAGACCAGACACAGCATAGGTGGTCTTCCCCCTCCTCCCCCTAGGTCCACAAACAACAAGACGTTAATACACTTACTCACAACCACTGGGCTACCTCCCTCATGGTTTATCTGTCCCCAGACTGTACGAGTAGCAACTTCCTTTTTATTGGAACATGAGCACAATGTGACAGTCTGTAAATAATTGAGTCTGGACCCGACAATCCAGTGATCAACATTATGAGCATCGATTTACACAACTGAATGTTTCAGCAGAACATGATTTTTGAAAATAAAATAATATTCCACATATTCCCCCACCTCTATCTTCATCACATCAAACTGGCTGGTGTCTCCCTTGATGATTGCCATGGCAGACTCCGCAATTAGTCTGGAAACAAACGTAAAGATAACTTCCACATTGATATCTACCATCTCTTAAACTGTACATACAAGGAAAGGGTCCATTTCAAAACTTGGAAGATTCTAAAAACATCTTGTTTCTGCTACTCCTGAGGGAGTTCTCCACCATCAATGAGGATAGCATGGTTCTACATGTTCTGTGTGACAAGACTGTTTCCTTATGCTGTACTCAGTTATCCCTCACAGAAATTAACTAACTTAGTAATTTACATGCTGCCCTCATATTGGTGGAATATTGATTAGTGCAGCATTAGACAAGAAACTAAGTTTTAACCATAATCAACACCACACCATCCAGGCCAAGTTGAGATATACATGAAACTACAAACTGGGATGTTATACGACATCAGTCCCAAGAACATGTATTTACAAACAGATTAAACAAAAATATGGGAGCTCTATATGGGAATATGGGGAGGACTCCATCCCCCCAGCAGCATCCCCAGTCCTTTAGTTCCCTTCCCCAATAATCAGCTGTTTAATCCCCAATGCATGACACACTCATGGCTGACAAGCTTGGTTATGTGAAAGAGTGAGTGAGTGAGTTCAGTTTTACGCCGCCCTCAGCAATATTCCAGCTATATGGTGGCGGTCTGTAAATAATCAAGTCTGGACCAGATAATCCAGTGATCAACAGCAAGAAAACATCGGTGCGCAATTGTGAACCGATGACATGTGTCAACCAAGTCAGCGAGCCTGACCACCCGATCCCGTTAGTCACCTCTTACGACAAGCATGGTTACTGAAGATCAATATCCTAACCCGGACCTTCACGGGTCTACACAGCTGGGATACAATGACATGTGTCAACCGATCGTGTCAGTCTACAAGCATAGGTTGCTGTAGATAACTCTAACCAGGATCTTCACGGGTCATGTGAAAGAGGAAGTGGCAGCTGCAGCATTTGACACTTAAACAACTTGCTTACACTAACTTAGTCAGTGTTCTCTGTCAGTATGTTGATAAAAGGACCAAATATTTGGATGCCTAACAATGACATAAACCTTTTCACCTATTACAATGACTTTGTGTCATCCATGTTTTAAAGAATAACTGATACATTTTGTACACATGAGATCAAATGTTAAATACATGTGGGGGCTACACTCAGGAAAAACAGGACAAGCTGCTTACCTGACTTGATTCAGATCGTTTCCAAACAACAGCTTGGCAAACCGATTTGTCTTGCCAAGGGGGATAATTCCAATAGGTATGTTGTTTCGGAGGTTCTGCATATCAAACAGACAGTAATGTGAGAGATAGTAAATTTGTAATGTCACACCAGCTGTTTCAACCATAAAGCAATACAACTTGAGCATTTTTACCTCGAAATGTTTAATAGCTGAATTCACAGGAAGAAGTTCAATCCACAATTATGAGCAACAGGAGACCTAAATTCTCTTAACATTGATTCCAATACTGTCCCTCCTTCTGGTGATATTGTTATGTGGTAACACATGGAAAGTGTAACGGATGGAATGATATGACATAAAGCAGGCTGGTTAACATGTGTCAGCGTTGTTGCTGCTGGGCTGGAATATGTGGATGCAGTGGTTAACATGTGTCAGGGGTTGTTGCTGCCGGGCTGGAATATATGGATGCAGTGGTTAACATGTGTCAGGGGTTGTTGCTGCTGGGCTGGAATATGTGGATGCAGTGGTTAACATGTGTCAGGGGTTGTTGCTGCTGGGATGGAATATGTGGATGCAGTGGTTAACATGTGTCAGGGGTTGTTGCTGCTGGGCTGGAATATATGGATGCAGTGGTTAACATGTGTCAGGGGTTGTTGCTGCTGGGCTGGAATATGTGGATGCAGTGGTTAACATGTGTCAGGGGTTGTTGCTGCTGGGCTGGAATATGTGGATGCAGTGGTTAACATGTGTCAGGGGTTGTTGCTGCTGGGCTGGAATATGTGGATGCAGTGGTTAACATGTGTCAGGGGTTGTTGCTGCTGGGCTGGAATATGTGGATGCAGTGGTTAACATGTGTCAGGGGTTGTTGTTGCTGGGCTGGAATATGTGGATGCAGTGGTTAACATGTGTCAGCGTTGTTGCTGCTGGGCTGGAATATGTGGATGCAGTGGTTAACATGTGTCAGGGTTGTTGTTGTTGTTGCTGGTTTGGGTTACTGGGCTGGAAATGTGGATGCAGTGGTTAACATGTGTCAGCGTTGTTGCTGCTGGGATGGAATATATGGATGCAGTGGTTAACATGTGTCAGGGGTTGTTGTTGCTGGGCTGGAATATGTGGATGCAGTGGTTAACATGTGTCAGGGTTGTTGCTGCTGGGCTGGAATATATGGATGCAGTGGTTAACATGTGTCAGGGGTTGTTGCTGCTGGGCTGGAATATGTGGATGCAGTGGTTAACATGTGTCAGGGGTTGTTGCTGCTGGGCTGGAATATGTGGATGCAGTGGTTAACATTGTGTCAGAAACAGATAATTTGCTTCTAACTGTTTTTAAGTCTGGGAAGTACAGACAAAACACTGGTATAGTATATCAGTGAGTGAGTGAGTTTATTTTTACGCCGCACTCAGCAGTATTCCAGGTATATGGCGGTCAGTAAATAATCAAGTCTGGACCAGACAATCCAGTGATCAACAGCATGAGCATCGATCTGCGCAATTGGGAACCGATGACATGTGTCAACCAAGTCAGCGAGCCTGACCACCCAATCCTGTCAGTCGCCTCTTATGACAAGCATGGGTTACTGAAGATCAATATTCTAACCCGGACCTTCACGGGTAGTATAGTATATGAGGTGCATTATAACAGCCATATATCCTTGGTATTCCATTCCATAATACAGTCACATTTCTTCTGCAATATACAGTTGTGATGAAAACATGTTGGGACAGATGCACAGGGAACATGTCATACAGTGAGGCCATCAAGGTGTCACCCTGGTAGGACACTGTCGGATGAATGCACAGTTACATGAGAAGTACTTCTATTCTCACTTACCTTGTCTTCTTTCCTCATCAAGCCAGTGACAGCCTGCCAACAGGAAGAGCATGTCAGAGAAAGCATGCAGTGTCTCGTTCAACAAAGGAATCTTATCGCTAAGATGATTCTAACTCCCATACACTAATGTAGGCTTACAAACATCCTCGCTGTAAGATCACACCGGCATATGGTTTAAAGCATCCAACCATGAACTGCAATCCATGAAACACCAAAACTTAATTGTTCCTATTTTATTTAGATAATTTACAATGCTGAGAAGAATTCAGTGGTCAAAGAAATAGGTTATGATCAAAGAAACAACTAGATGCTCAACAAACACTGGCGCACATACCTCCAGGAGAGTGCCGTCACCGCCGGCGATGACAATGGCGTCAGTGTCCTGGGACTCCAAGACTTTGATAAACTCCTTCACTTGGCCTTCGTACTCCGTCTAGAAACACATCAAGTCTGCCATGTTAAACCAAATGTAAAAGTTAACTTGTTAACGAAGCAACATAATCTGCGGCCAGATCTTGAAACAACATAACATTCTGAACCACATACAGTCCTCTCCTGTTGTACCCAGCCTATCTATTTGAACCAGTGAAACAGCAATCCAAGAGTAGAGAAAATCTTCAGAGACAAGTGAATTTCTCAGAAGTGTAGGAGTGAGAAAACCCAGTACCGTGTGAACCGTGAGAACTGAACCAACATGTCTTGGAGCCCCCAGTGTAATGTAAACCCTGTGAACATGTTGCTGATGTGGAAGCCAATGACTGCAGGACAATACCTTTACGACATTCACCTCCATCCCAGACAGGTACAAGATGGGGGCTGCAGTCTTGGTGAACAGTTTGGTCCCTTTTCTGTTAAAAAAGAAACACGTTTGAGAAAAGGACACGGCAGAAAGAATCCATGAAAACATTTTGCAACAATACCATGTTACCACACAGACATGTCAACATCACAGTAACCATGGTAACTGAGAACCTTGGGTTCCACCTTCTGGAACCATGTTACCATACAGACATGTCAACATCACAGTAACTGAGAACCTTGGCTTCCACCTTCTGGAACAGTTTTTCAGCTGTATCACAGGGTGTCAAGTAATTTGTGATAGGAACTCCCCAAAACCAGCCACAAATGTTTCCCACTTTGGTGGAATCCATGAACATAGTGCAGGCCGACCAACCATCATGATTATAGCAGTTCTTGGGATCCAAACCCCCAGTCTCCATACATGAGTGAGTTCAGTTTTATGACACTTTTAGCAATATTCCAGCAATATCATGGCAGCAGGCACCAGAAATGGGCTTCACACATTTTACCCATGTGGGGAATCAAACCGGGGTCTTCAGCATGACGAGTGAAGGCTTTAACCACTAGGCTACCCCACCGCTCCTCTCCATGTATCATATAACTAAGGGATCCCCAGCAAATATTGCACCTTAAATCAGCTGTGTCGCTGATTATGTAGAATGCCAGTATGGCAGCTTCTTGCTGGTGTATACGTACCCTCCTTTAACTGCTGGGTTCAGGAAGACTGTCACTCGCCGCGGCTTCTCATTATACAACATGATTTTACTGCCATATCCCTACACAAACAGAGTCAGTTGTTGTATTGACTTGGATCATTTCATTATTAAAGCTCTATAACATAGGATTCCTATTTGTATCCTGGTAGTATGCATTATCTATTGTATCTATGCACTAGACGGTGATTGAGTGGTAGTTTCTGACACATCCAACACATACTGCAGCTATAACCAAACTTTTTTAATAATCAATTCATTTGTACTTTGCATCAGCATAAGTAGGTGAATGTGGTTTTACACCTCTTTTAACTTTGTTTTACTCATACCACAGTGTGGAACACACTTTGTTCCTATTTGCGGTATCAAACCAAGGTCTATGGCAACAAGCCATTGAGAGAAAGTGAGTGAGTGAGTATGGTTTTACGCCGCTTTTAGCAATATTCCAGCAATATCACGGCGGGGGACACCAGAAATAGACTTCAAACATTGTGCCCATGTGGGGATTCGAACCTGGGTCTTCGGTGTGACGAGCGAACGCTTTAACCACTACTTGAACTCATTGACTAACTCACTATATAATCACTACATCAATCAGGCCGTACAAACATGGCATTACATTTGCATTCATTATAGGATATATCAACTCCACCCGTCCAGAATAATAGGACAAAAGATAAACACACCGGGATCATCAAAACTACACATCAAGGTCTCACAATATGGGCATGAAAATATTTCATGTTATTCAGTACAAAAAACATTTAATTCAAATGATGATGATGATGATGATGATGATGATGATGATGATGATGATTTGTATATTAAATCTTCACTAAACTAATCCACTTTTCATAGGTCTATTTTTTGTCTTTTCAAGATACACAAAAATTACTATAATAATCTTAACGATAATACAGTAATTGTCTATTTAAATAGATTGACAAATCTGATTATGCCTATCACAAGTTATATCAACATTATAACCAAGACTATCCATAAGTATATTACCACTGCTTCTGCACAGAACTCCCTCCTGATCAGCTCCTCTCTGAAGCACATTAAAGATAAATATTGATGATAACTATACCTTAGAGTGAATGTTCCACACAAACACCCCACACAAAAACACCCCACATGGGTGCTCATTATTCATACATACACGTATACATTCAGAATTCTTACTGGTGATCAGATTCACTGAGTGTATACATAATAACACCAGATATCATTTACCAGCATGTTTTAGTATACAAATAATATGTTACCAAGATTACTATATTGAAACTCTGTGAAAATATATATTTGTAATATTTGGCATTATGGTGACAAAAGTCAAATTAGGTTACTTAAAAATGACATAAATATACACAACAATGTCAGTTCAAAATCACATTGATGTTTTCAAGATTGACTTGAGATCTAAAACATATGTACATCAAGCATCTGGTTACAAACAGCTGGCTCTCATAACACAGATGCAAGAAACCTCGGTATGTTATGTCCCCTGATCTGCATACGTCTCCACAATGTCTACAATGTGACTGTTTGTCTGATAGATTGTCTCTAAGCACATGGTGCAAGTTAGAAGCAATTTTCAGTGATATGCACCGAATTGAAAATCTCACTGGGTAAAAAATACATGGGTGAAACAACAAACAGGATATCTTAATTCACTTTGACGCGAAGCTTGGAATCGGTATTACATTTGATGGGGCATACAAGCATTTATCCAGTGTATCCGGTAGATACACGTGCATATACAGGTAAAACAACAAGATTCACTGAGATGCGACTTGGTAGGGGTTGTAGTCAAATGGGCTGAAGGACAAAAGGGCCGGAAAAAAAGTCAAATGGGCCGGAATCAAAAGTCAAAAGGGTTGAAAAAAGGGCAGAAGAATATAAATTGAATAAATTACATAATAAAATAGTGTTTAATTTGTTGTTGTTATTTTAAATGGAATTAGAACATGTGACTCAAATTGTTTTTCGTTGTTAAGTGTCTTGACTCAGTGTCATCACTAATCTGTATAGTGTGCAGTGTTCCAAGACTGTTAGAAGGAACCAGCACGCCTTAGAATGTGATCAGTGTCAGTCATTGACGCACATGGTTTGTGGCACAGGGATGACTCGTGAAGACTACTTTGGTACACCTACAGAATACCGGATACCTACCAGCCATATTGTTTAGCGTCACGTCACCCTAATCCTAACCCTAACCAAAAGTAAACTCGCTCGCTTTCAAAGATAACGGAAGGTATCCGGTATTCTGTATTCTGTATTGATTCCTAATTAGTAGTAAATTGGACCATAAATGTTAACGAACTGTTAATTGAACTTCCTTAATTGTTAATTGGGGATGTTAACGAATCGAATTGATCTTAATTAGATCAATTAACCTTGAACATTGTTTATAGGTGAAGAAGCCTGCAACACAAGACCTGTTCAAGTCTGCCAGGTCCATAGCTGAGGATGTTGTTATGATAATATGTTTTAATGCTATATACGTCAATCAAAAATGAAAAAAATTGTAAACTCTTTTTTTGTTCGGCCCATACGTATAGAGTCTCCCTGATAGAATAAGAATAAGGCCCTTTTGACATTTTTTCACGGCCCTTTTGACTTTTTCCATCGGCCCATTTGACTTGGCACTTCTCGGCCCTTTTGTCCTTCAGCCCATTTAACTAGATCCCAGCGGTAGTACTTGAAGGGGCATGTAAGCATTTATCCATGTTTGCTCAGCGTCAACACGTGAGATCAGTCAACTCATATAGCCTATAGTGAAGACTAGCATGATCGAAAACTGAACAAAATGTACGGTAATGTTACGTGTTCATAGACTAGAGATACTTACGCTCTTTTTCATTACCAAACTTAACACCATACATTAGCAGACATGCACCGAATGTTGATTTCTTCCAGTGCGTCCGAACAGTTTTCGCTGACTTAATGATGAAAGCCATGTCATGTTTCAATCACTTCTAGCACATGTAATTTCAAGGTAGATAACTCAGGAAAAGTACGTGAAAATACCGCCAACATAATTATTGCAAAAGGAAAGTCTTCTTACATGTTGTTTCGCTCTGTTGGTAATTAAACATTTCAATGGCAGTTTAAAGTAATTTCCTCAAAATTAAAAAAACTATATATTTATTAATCATATGAATTTATTAATATTTTTTTTAGGCAAATGTGAAAACTTATAAGTTCCTTTGTGCCACTCTTCAATTGAATAAGGAACTCGATATATGTCACTTGATTAGAAAATTTTATTGACGTAAGATTTAAAACGTTTGATGGATAATTAAATGATACATCGTTGAACTAGTGAAGAATTCCTCAACTTTATGTTTAGGGTCATGTGAAGAAGGAAATGCTATAAAATACGGTTTTGCTGTATAGTTCCTTGCATTTTGAAGACCTAGGTAGTGTACATGGTAGTTAAATGAATTTGTTAAAAGTGGCAAAGTTTTCACTTTAATTAGGAAGGTTATATCTTGCATTTTGTAAACACGCTATGAATACCAATGTTTCTCATTAATTGGTTTCTGGTTTAAACACTCAGCTAATGGCTTCATCGTTCACCTAACTTCCAGGCATCACAAAGTCATGATTCACAGAAAGCATGGTTACTCTGTATGGCTAGACAGTCTTCATGCTTGATAAATTACAGGTCTGATAGTCTTTAGCTACACCAACTTGCTTGCCCAAATTGTGTCTTGACGATGATGATGATAATGATGATGATGATTTGGAGATGTTACGTGCTCATTCCGACATTTCGCACACGGGCCCGCCAGGCCATTTATATTGTTTGATCGAAAGACGGTGATTATGACCGAAAGATAAGGCGACCTGAAGGAGGAACATATCAGTGGAAGCACCTAGCGGAGTTCCTGAAGCTTGACTGGGGGATTTCGTCAACGTCTCACTGAATCTCCTCTCCACTTCGTCCCAGACGTGTTGGATAAGGGATTTAGTTCAATATGCGGCCCCAAGAACCGCTGAACCACTCTGGCGACATGAGGTCTGGCGTTGTCCTGCTGGAAGATCATTCCTGGACCATTCTGCTGGGGAAATGGTCTGGATTCACAGTTTCGTTTCTTTACCTGAGACCGTTAATTTTCCATTAATGACAAGCAAAGGTGTACGTCTGCAGCACTCGTGAACCCACCCCAAACCATCACTCGACCGCCGCTAACGGTCGGCCTAAAGGACACAGTCCCTATAACATAACGCTCACCACGTCGCCTGTGAACTCGGGTTCGGCCATCACCGCGGTGCAAGACGAATCTGGACATTTGTCGTCTGGCAGGACGTCTATAGCACGTATCTCGTGTGCAGCCAGATGCCCCCGAATGGTCCCTGGCGATATCCTGTTGACACTAGGAACTGTTCAGGCTGTCAGTGTGACTGGTTGGAATCTTTGGCGCAGATGGGTAGTTCGGATCCACCGATCGTTGCGTGGCGTGGTTACAGGTGGACGGCCACTTCGGGGACGGTCTGCATCTACGGCGTTGATAACGTTTCCACAAGCGACATATATAGTAGTGTTCCTGTGCACGTTATGTGTAACGTTGTGCTGGGGTGTTCCGGTTTCAAGCATTTCAATGGCTCGCCATCTTTCATTTTCAGTTAGCCGTGCCATAGAGAAATGCAAGCAGACTCTTCCAAATTTGTGTTTTTCGGACCCGTCGACGTCTAAATAACGATTAGGTGACAATGATTCGAGGTTTAGAGCCACACTTTTTAACGGTCACGTTTTGTGCCTTTTTTCCCTCAGCCTGCTGAGTAAGTCTGTAAGAATTGAAAGTCTGTTGCGTAGTTTGACAAGCGGATCATCGAGTGCTGTTACTATGCCCATAGATCTGTCGTGAATATTGATTGGTTTTCTGGGAGTCTGTATGATTTAGTATGCCTAGAACGTTGTGATGTGTGGATGCCGAAACCTGTGAGTTTTTACCCGGGTCAAAGGACCCGTTTTTGAAAATGTGGCTCCAATTTGGCAAGTGTTCATGGATGTAAGCTGGTGTTGTTGTTTTTCCGCGATGTTTGGTTTGTTTATTATTTCGGAGGAGAGTTTTGTGTTTATTTTAGGAAGTTTTAGTTTAGGTGTGAAAATACTGGATGGGTTGGTGTTTTGTGTTAGCTTATTTAGGTTGTGTTCAGTTATGAGGTTTGTTACGTGTTGCGATATTTTGGTTAAAAGTGGGATTTTGCAAGCAAGCGCTAGGAGTTTTGGGCTTATGTTAGTATTTATGAATTGTTTGATTAAGGTTGGATGGCTGGTTTGTTGTTTAACCCCGCACTCTGTGATGTGCAGATGAATGTGGTCATTTATGCACCTAGATTGACATTCCCCAAAGATAATAGCCAGTCGACAGAGAGTAGCATCTAACAGAGTTCGTAGGGTCAATAAAGTGAATCTGTCACCTTAACATATATGTAAAAAAGAAAGGTGCTGTTTCAACTAAAAACGCCAGATTCAAACAGTATTTTAATCAAACGGGAGAACACAGTTAAAAAGCGAGCTAGAAACAAACCCGAAGACATGACATTTGAGGAACCCAGGAGGGCGAAACTCAGAGTACAGGCGAGTGAACCTAAACGTCTGTAGTGTTTCAAGGGCATCGGTTCGGATGGATGGTTTGGGTGAGTGAGTGAGTTTAGTTTTATGCCGCACTCAGCAATATTCCAGGTATATGGCGGCGGTCTGTAAATAGTCGACTCTGGACAAGACAATCCAGTGATCAATAGCATGAGCATCAATCTAAGCAATTGGGAACCGATGACATGTGTCAACCAAGTCAGCGAGCCTGACCACCCGATCCCATTAGTCGCCTCTTACGACAAACATGGGTTGCTAAAGATCAATTGTATCCGGGATCTTCATGGTGGTTAATGCCCAGAAGTTGATGGTTAACTGCTCTCGTCTTAATTCTAAGGGGATTTCGCTGTTATTGCTTGTAATGAGATAAGTGAGGTGCCCATCGGCTATAAGGCCTAGAATTTAGTTTGCTTTTAAAATTTAATGAGACTATTTTAAAGATAAATTGATGACGTATTTTTTACGTTCGAAGACTACTACGGTGTTTTTTCGGCGCTTGCTGAGAAACTCTGATCGGACCAAGCTTCCAGTTTGTTTAGTGCCAGACCATATTTTATGCCAGGCCATATCACACGCTTTTGTATCCAGGTCTGTTTATTGGCGGCCTATAGCTCGCCCGCCGTTATATCCTGTTCTAGACAGACAAGGTTGTCCAAGGTGGAGCAACCTGGAGTGAAGACGCTTCGGGTTTTGATTGATTAGGTTGTTTTCATAGATAGCACTGGAGCCGGTTTTCGACTATGGCTTCCATAGCTGTACGTAATTTTACATAGATGAGGGAAATGGACACATGTATAGCTTTACTGTCAGCACGCATGCCCAATTCATGACTCAATGGTCAATTTGGATGTCAATATCAACCAGTTCAAAGAATGATAGTGTGAATGACAAACATTTAACCCAATATTCCAACTACAGAGAATAACATCTAAAACTGTGAAAGAAACAACGAAACATCAGATCATACATTTCTTTTTATTCATGTTAGTTGTACATTCACAATTAAAGGCACAAAATACATGTGACAATATATATGAGTATTATTTCCATTAACAACACATCCCATACTCATGTATGCGCTGTTATTTCTTATATACACGATTTGATATTATAACATAGATATAAGTGAATGTTAGAAAGTAAATATAACACCAGGTAGATATAGGTACAAGACACAGAGAGATCTGCATATTAATGTCATGGAATACATGTTGGTTTGGACGGAGTACAGTATCACACATACACAAAATATACTTTATACATAAGCAGATGGCAGTGTCATACATCACATCAAAACAAAGACACAACCGTCTTCCACACCCACAATCAGCTGTTAGTACTGTGGAATATATATGTTTGTATACATATAAATAAATGTGTCTATGGGTTTTAGCTTACAGAACAAGCAAGCTAATTGTGGCCAATAAATAATACTTGATGCGTGTGTCATCAGTCTTGTTCCATACATGTTTAGTCCCTAGTTGTTCTTTATCCACAGAAGTGTTTTAGGACTAATTATAATTTGAACTAACATATGTTTCAAACTTCTTCCACGTTTAACTCTCAACACACAATGTTACTCAGTACCATGGCTTCAGTTTATTTATGAGCATAACTGATTCATAAGTATTCATGTTAGCACAGAACAAATCACGTTATAGGTTATGACTAAGATTTTTGTGATCATTCATATCTTCCACATACAGTGCCCTACAACTTGCAATTCTCAGTTAGAGATCACTAAATAATACTAACAAAATCAGATCAGTTCGATGTTGTTACGAAGAGCACTGCTTCCTTAATGTCGTGAAGTTACTTATGTTCCAATATATTTAAAACATGGTGAAACTTCAACTTCTTTACTTGGTTTCATCATACAATTTTCAACTTGCAATATTGATTTCTTGGTACAACTGCAATTGTTAAAGAGCTACAGAGGAAGAAAGTAAAGAAACTATAAAATAAAAATACAAATCCACTATGCTTTCCTATATTTTCCATCTCCAAAATATATGTCAAGACAGTGTCCAGTGTAAAGTTAAGATAAAGTTTCAGGAACTGATGTTTTACCCTAGACTGACAAGCATACAAATGAAACAGTTTGAACAGATTAGACACTGGATTACCACTGAATCTGAGAACATCTTCATTACATTCTGAAGGAACCAGGTAGATCTTGGCCTGCATGAGACCAAAGAGGCCATCACCTAGGTCATAAAGCACAGTGCTTGCATAGTATAAATACATGTATGTCTGATGAAGTCTGAGGAAGTACTCATGTATGACAATACTCATGTATGACAATACTGAAGTTGAGGCTTGGAAATATCGCGTCATCTCTCAGACAACATGTCATCGATATCACCCCTATGTTGCCTGGGAGATCCATTTGTGTGACCATTAGAAATGTCAGCCATTCGGAGACTTTCTGCTAATCTGCCACTGTGACTCAGGTTTGAAATATTCTGGCCCCTGGAAAACAAATAAAAATAAAATAAACATATCGAAAACAAACACTGAATGATGTGCAGTCAGTAATACTGCATCTGCACCATGACTGTGTTCAATATTCAATCTGTGACAAATGGTTGACAGAATATACAAAGATCAATACTTTTGTGGTATAATGACATAAAGTTAGCAAGGTCTCACATTGTAACAACTGGCTTATCTGCCCCAGAACATGAAACCACATATACATACCATAACATACCCCTTAACATGAATACCAATTTTCACCTTCAAAGTTTTACTGTTTACCAGGAATTTCATATGGCATTAATAGATCCTGTCAATCACAAGCAGCTGGGCAGGTGTCATAGAGGATCAACGTCACAATTGTTGGGACCTGGTCACCATAGACATTCCTCCACAGTTGGGATCACATGCCTTCATACCAATTAACTAAAGTTCAGGGTTGCCATGTTAACAGAAGAATCTGTTTCTGTGGTACATGTGCAGTACATTTAAAACCAAAATGGTTTTCAGGCAGCATTTACTGTAATCCTGCATTACATTGACTGTGTCACAGAAGCCTGTAAGGGCTATTTTCTGTCTTTTGATTCAGTCCAGGGTACATTCCTGCAGTGATTCTTTGTGATGTGGTGTCATTGGCTCAACGTGTTTGCACTGCCTTTGTTCTGTGTTACCTGGGAGATCTGTTTGTTTCTCTCTGGCTGCGACTGAGTTCTTGCAGAAGGCTCTCTCTTTCACTTGCCATCTGCCTCTCACTTACCACATGCCGAGATAACTGAAAACACATACACAATATATCCATATCAAACACATCAAGTGTTTCAATTTGTTTCCCATTTTTGCTCATGTCCAGCTTGTGTTTGCCAGGGCTCAACATTAGCAGGGGTGGATCCACGCTTTTGCAGAAGGGGGTGCACATAAATCATGAAGTCCCAAGGGAAGGGGGAAATGCTCCTCACGGAAATTGTTATCAGGGAGAAGGGGTAAACACACACACACCCCACCGCCTGGATCCACCCCAGATTAGGAGTGGGACACTGAACTAGCACTATCTATCACAATTTTGTCCCTAAACTACTAATATATCACTATAATATTTAAAATGCCAATACATGTAATAAATGGTTCACTCAGCATGTATTTAGAGTACCGGGTAGATGTCAAAACCAATTTATTCCCACACACACTTATCTACTCACCTTCCTGGTGGACTCCGCTGCCCTCTGCTCTGACTCCCGCACGCGGTCTTCCATCCTCCTCACGTTCTTCGTGTACTCGCTGATCACACGCTCTGCCTGCACGAACACACAATGTATGGAATATTAACCTTTGAATCTCTGCTCCACCACCTTACATTTATGATAGATTTACTTTAGAACACTCCCATATATAAAACACAATTTACACAGTTACCACACATTGTAGCTGGTATTCTATGTCCAATAAAAACCAAAGTTGTATATAATCTGCCCTTTGGTTTCTCAGATAATCTGCCCTTTGTTTTCACATCTATCAACTGTGAGTGGTTATGTAACTATTTTACTAGTATTATGTATATTTATAACATTATGGCAGTCAGTGTTAATACTGATGAACTACCAGCTATCCTTGTGACACAGGCCTTAATTCAATGTGTACACTGAGTACACTGTTGACAGACCAAGGATCATTATCAGGTAGAGTCTGGAACCCAAACCCACAGCCAGTGTATCCAGCTTAACTAAGGGAAGAAACTCTTGCAAACACTAAATAACGTTAAGCAAACATGACGTTAATGTTGTTTTTTATCATGGGGATATATAAATATTTAAAACAAAACTATTAAAATGCCATGAATAGCTCAGACGATTTTGAGTCATTGAACATGTTCCTCCACCAATCAAACTGCAGCCTAATAAGTATTTTCACAAGACAATCTGACCAACCTCGGTTGTCTTTTCTTGACTCTCCTTCAACAGTGATGTTAACTCTTCATTTCGCCGCTTCAACATGCTGACCTCTGACCTCAGATCTGTAACCTTGACCTCAAATTTCTGTGTAATAGTATTGCATTCCTCTTTCCACCTGAAATTAATGTTTAAAAGTGAATTTTGTTCAAAATCACAAAAATACATATGATATGATTGATGTATACATGGATATGATATCAACACATGTCTCTCGACTCACAGAGTAGTGATCCACCAGAGATCAGAACAACAGTCAAAACCAGGATGAAACACTGGTAGATACCATTCCCTGTAAAACCTTTCTGTATCCATGAACCATGTGTAGCAATCATCGTTAAGTCCCTTTCATATACAGATGTTCCTGGCTAAAGCGAGTGAGTCAGTGAGTTGGATTTTACACTGCTTTTAGCAATATTCTAGCAATATCATGGCTAAAGCGAGTGAGGGGACCTAGCAAAATGGGCTTCACACATTGTACCCATGTGGGGAATCGAACCCAGGCCTTCTACGTGATGAGCAGATGCTTTAACCACTGGGCTACCCCACCACCCTCCAGGCTACAGTAAACCATTACCTAGCACTCATCCTCTGCTGGGCATTGAGGAGTTTGCGGAGCTCCACCATGGTCTGTCTGTTGGCGTCCTCCGTTGACTGCAGCTTCACTTCATAGTCCCGCATCTTCAGCTGCTGCCCCTGCTCCATCATCACTGACTGCAGAGGATAATACATCTACCATTCATCATTTAATTGTTGGGCATTTACTATAAGATGGCATGGTTAGTTGTTTACTAAATATGGGAGGGAAACCAAAGCTGAAGCAGTCGTCCATGTTTACCACTGTTATCAAACCCACAACCATAATCAGGGTTAAACTAAACCCAAGGTCAGCGAATCCAGCACAGCTAAGGGACACAACCCTTCACAGCAAACCATGGCACCTCTGACAACATGGCCACTAGTGCCTTCTTGTGAAACATACCACTGCAAAAAGGCAACTGTGTTGAAGATAGAGAGGTGCAAATATCCTTCCTATGAAGCCCAGTCACCGTTTTCTGTTATTGTAGTAACAACAAAGTGGCGAGAATCTAACAGACTTATATGCTCCTATGTCTTAACATACAATTATAACCCATGAACTACACGATGGTGCATTAGGAAATGAAAGCAGTCCCCACAACCTGACAGCTCACCTGCTTGTTGTACTTCCTCTGAGCGGCCTCCTTATCCTGCTGGGCAGACTGTAGCTGGCGCTTCAGCTTGTCGATCTCATCAAGGTAGCGGACACGGTCGTCGTTCAGGTTCTCGAACTCCAGCTCCATGGTCATCAGGCGTTCCCTCATCCCGCTCAGCTGAGACTCCAGCTGGTTCTTCAGCTGTTCAGAGCTGTACAGGGAGAGAGGTGGGTGAGTGGGGCTGGAGTTGACCAAACTATTATAGTTGGGGTAAACCCACAGATATTGTATGGTGCTGACCAACCTATGATTATAATTGGGTGGTGAGGTGAGGTGAAATTGGGTTTAACGTTGTGCTTGAGAATATTTTGCTCATATGATGACGTGCATGCGTGTGTATGTGTATGTGAGGCTGCTTGTACTAGACCAGACTGAAGCTGGTTTTATAGTGCTAGCCCACTGAGGTACCATGCCGCAGTGAAGCATGAATACCCCACTCAGACACATCACATTGACTCCAAGCCGACCAGTCCTTGTTGTACCCATTAATGCCAAGCGCCAGGCAGGGAACAACAAGTACCATATTTTAATGTCTTTTGGTATGAGGTGGTCGGGGATGGAACCCACGACCTTCCGCTCTCCAGGCGGACGCTCTAACCACTACACCACGGAGGCGTTCTTATAATTGGGGTGTGCCCACAGGCTTTGTATGGTAATAACTGGGGGGAACCTGTGGTACACATTGACCAATCAATGTCCCAATCCTGGGGACCAACAACCAACAATCCAGGCAAGATTTATAGATGCAAAGTCACCGTACCCAACATATGATGAACGACGTTTCACTTTGAGCTAATGACAATTCTCACTTCATTGATTCCCGCTTGAGTGTAGACTCCAGTGTGTCCACCTTCAGCTCTGCCTCATCTCGCCGTCTCTCTGCATCAATAGCTCGCCGGTTCAGATCCTCGTATGCACTGTGTTGTTTGGATCCCTGCACTATACCATCCTTGTAGATCTGTAGCATGTGAAAGGGGATACAAGAATGTTGCTGGAATAATATGCTTCTTCAAAGACAGAACGCCATCCCGACTAGGGTCTGGGCACGGGCCAAGTGCAAGGTCAGAGTAAGGGCACAGGCATGGTATGGACAAGAATAATTGCAGTTAAGGGGTCAGCGTATGTGCTGGGAATGGGGTTCGACACAGGCCACTGTAAGGACAACGCTAGATGGCAGGGTAGTCACCTTGGTAGGTCCTGGTAGGCCCTGGTAGGAATCAGGTAGGGGCCAGGGTAAGGGTCATATTTGGTATCAGAATAGGGCAGGGTATTGGTAGGGTCTTGGTAGGGTCTTGGTAGGGTCAAGCCAGTGGTCTGAATCAAATGCAATGCTCACTGTATACTACTTCATTTGCTTTTGAATTTTACACACATTGTCGAGTGATGAGTTCACTAGACCAATGGGTCCTGAGTCATTGCTTGTCTTCAACCAGAGTGTCTGATGAATCAGGAGATATTGCTGGAATTGTTCTGAGGAAGGACTAATATTACTGACCTTTTCTAACTCGGACTCCACAGATCTCTTCTCCCTCACAAGTCTCTCAATCTGGGCCTCGCGCTCAGCTCCTTCCTGGAATGTCATCATGTTATTAACTAACTTCTTTGTGCCCATCATTAGCACCCGACTTAACACAATACAGATTTACTGTTTGAAAAGCATACATAGAAATATTGAACTACTAATGATACATTGTTACATTTCCTGCTATTATAAGTTGTATGCATCTCTCGAGGGTAATACGGTCTGATGTACGCCTGTTTGTAGCAGTGTCACCATAGCCAGTAGGCGAGGGATAACACTGTTACATAAAAGCGTACATCAGACTTTTCAGTCAAGAGATTTCACCTAAAAACAAAACAGCAAAACTAACATATATACTGCGACATGACAAGACATGACACAGGGTGTACAACATCTTAGGCTCACCATCTCTAGGGAATGGACTTCATCTGTGAGTTTGCCGATTCTCTCATTGCACTGTTTCCTTACTGCATCAACCTGGAGGGAGAAAATGTAGTCATCGGCTAGACTTTGGCACTGTTTAGTGAGCTTACATGATCATAAAACACCAACTGTGATGGATTAACAAAATTTGATTAACACAGTATTACTTAAGGGAACTGATGTTGGCAGGCCAGTGGAGAGTTGCATCCTTTAGTTGCATCAGGATCTGCTGACTGTTGTTTGGTTCAGTCAAGTGGTAAACATCTGTTGCCTGCATCCCTTTAGGGACCGTTCATATTTTATCCCTAGGGGGGTGATGATGATTTTAAGGGGAGGTGGGAGGGAGGAAGAAGCACCCATCTTGATCTGGGGAGGCAGGGGGTCATCAATTTTGTACACATGTACTAGAGGGGTCGTCACTGATTTTGTAAATGATATGTAGGGTGTGTGTGTGTAGGGGAAAAAGTGGGGGTGGGGGTGGGGTGGTTTCCACTTACTTTGTACAGAAATGTTGTGTGGGTGAAGTGTTGTGATTGGGTGTCCTTTCACATTGTACACATATCTCCATAAAATCCTAATGAAACATCCCCCCCCCTAAAGCCATAACTTATGAACAGTCCCTTAGGCTGGTCCCATGGTAATGATGGGACATCGGATATCACATCGGATATCATCGAAACTATTGAGCTGCTTTCAACCCCATACACACATACACTCTACCGCCTGGTCAAGGCAGCCATTAACACAGTGCTCCTACCTCTTGGCGGGTGCGGACTCCGGCTTCGTTAATGAGTTTGCTGAGGACATCCTGCATCTGTTCAATCTCATTATCTTTCTGACGACTCTGCACCTCAGCCTGGAACACAACATGTGGAACATCTTACTCAAGTGGAACTAGGCCTGTTCTATCTCCATACTCCGATATGATAGTTTCAGAACTAGACGGCTTTAGGAGCAGCATCTTGTATGATATAGCATACACATCATCACACTAAAACACTGTGGTCATTTTATGTCATTCCCACACTCTTTGTGTTATAATAATTATATGTGCATACACAATACACCAGATTTCCAACTGGCTTTGTAAAATATGTCACGGTAATGTGAAAAGGTGATAACAAACATGAAACAAACAAGTGTTGCAAAATGTTCTTACAGTTTGTTTTTAGAATGCATGATAATGGATTAGATGTGTGAAATTTGTAGAAACCTGTACAGGTTTCTGATTCTTTGAAGAAAGTCCTCATTGGGGTACACATTAGCATTTAAATGTGCATTTTAAATCCTACGACAGTTGTAACAATATTTTAATAAAAATAATTACAAAACAAAAAACTCTTTTTTGTCTTGTAAGACCACCCCTACAGGACCCCACAGGGCCCCTTACAGCCAAGAGCAGGCAACTCTGTCTGTTTACCTTGTACCTCACATTTCATGCTGAACGAATCAGACAGAATGAGGGGAGGTGGGTGGCCGTATCCCAAGGAGGACTTTCTTCAAAGAATCAGAAACATCTACAGGTTTGGACGATTTTTTTCAGAAGTTCTCCTTGGGGTACATATAAGCATAAGACAGACTCCCAAATATTGTGAGTTGGGAGCGGCATTCTGTCTGGCAACACTAAACCTGTGGTGGAGTTAGATCTACGACCGAATCGGAGATAGAAAAACACACTTACCTAGTCACCTGACCGCTGATGTCAATCAGGCAGGGGCGTGGCTAGGGCGGGATATATTTCGATTGGCTCAAATCTAGAATGACATAAACCCCACCCCCAACCATTACAATGGAAAGGAATGTATGGGGACATGCCGAAACAACTCCCAACCTAAATAGCCCAAACCAGCGAAGCGTGGCGAGAGGTATAAGGGTAGGGAAAGCGTAAAAAACGCTTAAAAGCCAAAAACACCGGGGTCGAGCCAATAAGTACTGCAAACTAATGGCTTGAATGCACCCCTCCTGTTTGGAAGAGGGCTTTGCCGGGACCTCGATAAAACCCAGAGAAATCATTAGCTTCGCGAAGAACTTTCTGAGGAAATCGAACGAGGACAAACGCCATTGTACGAGTGAAAAGCAGGATAAAACACCCCCACCAAACGCTCTCAGAGTGAGGAGGGTAAGTGTAAACCACCATCACCCAAAGTACTAACACAGACCCCCAAATACCGAAGTCTCGGGAGGGCAGAGCACAATCGAATGGGGTGTGAAACATGGAAATAGCCATGGAGTACCCGGGAATGGTGGAGGCCATAAGGCTCTCAACCAAAAGGGGGTTATAGTAACTCAAGTCCACAGAATAGAGATTCTGAAATCCCCGTATACGCGCACCAGCATGCCCCCAATACGGAATGGGTGTGGAATCCCACCTCGAAGCCAGAATTGTGTCTGCAACAGCTGCAGGAATTCCACGTGTCTGGAGCTTAGACCCGACAGAGGCCAAGCCACCGAGAGAAGCCGAGGATTCGGGTGGGGCCCCGTTCAGAGTGAGAATGTCTGGCCTTAAAGGTAATTCAAAACCCTGCGTGTGGGATCGAAAACCAACCTGACTGCTGTCAATTCCAGCACATTGATGTGCAGGTAGTGACTTTCAAGAGACTGTGGGTCACCCAGAACATCGCCCCAACCCGGGAGGGATGTATCTGTCTGGACTGAGAGCGAGCCCCTTGGAGAGCCGCCCACGTCTGCCCACCACTGCAAATGAGGAATCAACCACTCTGGCATCTCGAGAAAGTTCTCGTAGCTCTATGAGTGGGACCCCAGCTGCTAAAGCTTGCTGCATGGATCTCATCCTCAAACTCGCATCACCCCAAGAAAGACCGAATCCTGCTCCGAGAGACGAGGTCTGACTTCTTGAGACTGAAAATTCAGCCCATTTTCATAAGAGTGAGAAAACACTGTTATTCTAGAACCCAGATGAGCCAGTCGCCTAGTTACGGGTGACAACACCGGCACTGCTATCTGGCTATCTGAGCTTTAATAAACCTCAATTTGGTGAACACCCTTGGCGCCTTAAAGAAGCCAAAGGGGAGCACACGAAACTGGTAGCACGTCCCGCCGAAGAAGAACCGAAGGTAGTTCTTGAAATCAGGGTGCATTGGAACAAGGAGGTATGCGACCTTGAGGTCGATTGACGTCTGCCAATCCCCTGTCTCGACAGATGAGATCATTGATCGCGGTGTCTCCATCCTGAAGGACAGTACCTCTATTAACTTGTTCAGCTCTCAGATGAGAATGGGTCTGAACATTCCGTTCTTTATGGTAAAGAGGAAATAAGTGGAGTTGAACCCCTCATTTCCCTGACCATTTGATACCATCTCGATGGTTGCCTTGCCCAGCAGAGACTGGATCTCAGCACGGAGTATTTCTGTCGTCTCCCGGGAAGCTGACACTGGTGTGTGTCACACTCCTACTGGGATTTGCGGCAGAATAAAGTAAACCCCTGCAACCGGCAACATAACCTTTGCCGGTGCCGAGGCACCTGAGGGATTATTGAGAAGCCCGACAAACTTCCACATTCCACGAAATAGTCCCAGGCGTCATAGGCCTAAAACCGCACTCATCATTTGGCTGGCACAGCTACAAAGCAGTCATTAGCCAGATGAGAGAGGACCTCCGCCAGCTGCCGCCCAGAGACGCCGATGAAGAATCACCGGCGCTCTTTCCCCTTTCCACCAGCTCCCTCTGCAGAGCATGGAGAGGCATCGAGTGAAGCATACAGCGTAGATCTGTTAAGAGGAAAGGACGGCAGACTGACAGTAGAATGTGAGGCCGTGAACCGGATGCCTTGCTGGAAGTAGGTTTCCCCCTCGGGAGGCGAACTCCAACTGTCCTGGCCCTCGTCGTGGACAACACCTTAGGCAACACAGCCGCGATTCTATCTTGCACTTGCCACAGGGACGAACCTAATCATTGTAAAGTTCAAAGTATGGAAAAGAGCCCATGCTCAAATCGACTTGACCACTGTTTGAGCCTGAACCCTGATTCCGCGGTACATGGGAGTAGCCTGATAAATCAGGGTACCCCAAGCACTCAGACAGACCTCTGAGCGTCGAGGTGACTGGCATATCCGGCACACTCGATAGCCTCTTGGTCAAGGCGTTGATAAACATCAGGCCGAGGCCTGAACTACGGCGCCAGGGATTGGCGCCCTACCGGTACCGAAGCCCAGGTCGGTGCTATTCCCCAAGATATGTAGGAGTAGCCTGATAAATCAGGGTTTCCCTGGTACTTTTACCACAAGCGCACTGAGCATACAGTCATACACTGCCTATAGCGCTATATAAACACCCATATACATACATATATGTACCGGTTCTCGGGTCAGTGATTCAAGTTCCCCTGGCGTACACGGGTAACCTCGGAGGGTGGAGGTAATCGGTTGCTCCGTCACACTCAACAGCCTTTTGGCCAGGGCGTCGATAGACATCAGGCCGAAACCTGAACTACTGTCGCCGGGGATCTGCGCCGTACAGGAGCCGAAGCTCAGGCCGGTGCTAGTCTGAACCCCGGTCCTGGGACACATGGGTGTAGCCTGGCAATGCAGGGTTCCCCTGGTGTACATGTGTAGACCTCGGAGTGTCGAGGTGATCAGCAGCTCGGTAGCTCCATCACACTCAACAGCCTCCTGGCCAGGGCGCTGATAGACATCAGGCCGAGACCTGAGCTACCGGCACTGCGGATCTACGCCGCACTGGGGCTGAAGCCGGGTCAGTGCTAGTCCCCAGGTTCAGAGCGTCCCCGGAGCCGAGTTCACTATTTGTTACGAGGGAGGAGTGCAGAGAAAGGGACAGCCAGGTGTTAGAGAAGCACGTGCACAAGTTATTGATTCATTAACCTGTGCTGTGCCGTCTCCATCCTTTCTCGCACACTCGGCTGTCCCTTTCTCTGCACTCCTCCCTCGTAACAAATATTGAACTGTGTCGATATTTTAATGATAGTTTGTTAAACAACTTTTTTATTTTTCGGACATAAATTCTGCAAACACCTCTCAGAGTTGGTCTGACGTTTTCATTATGATCAGTTTTGAGTTAGATTGCAATTCATCAGTCCGCTTTTGAGCCAAACGGACTATAATGCCCGTGCGTAAAGAAAGGAACCATAGATACAGTTTGAGAAACTTTATCACTCATCGTCAATTACAGGAAGAGATAAGACTCTAAGGACACCACGCACGTCTGTTCTAGAGAACGACAACATGAAAGTGAGGTACAAGGTAAACAGATAGAGTTACCTGCTCTTGGCTGTAGGGGGCCCTGCGGGGTCCTGTAGGGGTGGTCTCATAAGACAAAAACGAGTTTTTTGTTTTGTAATTATTTTTATTAAAATATTGTTACAACTGTCGTTGGATTTAAAATGGACATTTAAATGCTTATATGTACCCCAAGGAGGACTTCTTCTGAAAAAGAATAAAAGAGTTAGACTGTTTCTTTTCTTTCCACAAGTTGACCTCCGACTTACTTGATCCTTCTCCAGCACAGCGTTCTCCACCATCTGTACTGCATCCTGCACCCTTATGACGGCATCTGTTTCCTTCTTCTCCATATCATAACTGTAACAACAAACACTGCTCTCAGCTGGATACCACACACCACCCTCAGCTGGATACAACACACCACTCTCAGCTGGATACCACACACCACTCTCAGCTGGATACCACACACCACTCTCAGCTGGATACCACACATGGACACACATCACCTCAGCTGGATACCACACATCACTCTCAGCTGGATACCACACACCACCCTCAGCTGGATACCACACACCACCCTCAGCTGGATACCACACATCACCCTCAGCTGGATACCACACACCACCCTCAGCTGGATACCACACACCACCCTCAGCTGGATACCACACACCACCCTCAGCTGGATACCACACACCACCCTCAGCTGGATACCACATCTCAGCACCACCCTCAGCTGGATACCACACACCACTCTCAGCTGGATACCACACATCACCCCTCAGCTGGATACCACACATCACCCTCAGCTGGATACCACACACCACCCTCAGCTGGATACCACACACCAGCTGGATACCACACTCAGCTGGATACCACACACCACCCTCAGCTGGATACCACACACCACCCTCAGCTGATGATACAGCATACCACACACCACCCTCAGCTGGATACCACACACCACCCTCAGCTGGATACCACACACCATCCTCAGCTGGATACCACACACCACCCTCAGCTGGATACCACACACCACCCTCAGCTGGATACCACACACCACCCTCAGCTGGATACCACACACCACCCTCAGCTGGATACCACACACCACACCTCACATACCACACACCATTCTCAGCTGGATACCACACATCACCCTCAGCTGGATACCACACATCACCCCTCAGCTGGATACCACACACCACCCTCAGCTGGATACCACACACCACCCTCAGCTGGATACCACACACCACCCTCAGCTGGATACCACACACCACTCTCAGCTGGATACCACACACCACCCTCAGCTGGATACCACACACCACCCTCAGCTGGATACACACACATTCACCCTCTCAGCTGGATACCACACACCACCCTCAGCTGGATACCACACACCACACCTCAGCTGGATACCACACACCACCTCAGCTGGATACCACACACCACCCTCAGCTGGATACCACACACCACCCTCAGCTGGATACCACACACCACCCTCAGCTGGATACCACACATCACCCTCAGCTGGATACCACACACCACCCTCAGCTGGATACCACACACCACCACCTCAGCTGGTTACACACACCACCCTCAGCTGGATACCACACATCACCCTCAGCTGGATACCACACACCACCTCAGCTGGATACCACACACCACCTCAGCTGGATACCACACACCATTCTCAGCTGGATACCACACACCACCCCTCAGCTGGATACCACACACCACCCTCAGCTGGATACCACACACCACCCTCAGCTGGATACTTACACACCACCCTCAGCTGGATACCACACACATCACCCTCAGCTGGATACCACACACCACCCTCAGCTGGATACCACACACCACCCCTCAGCTGGATACCCACACCATTCTCAGCTGGATACCACACACCACTCTCAGCTGGATACCACACACCACCCTCAGCTGGATACCACACACCACCCTCAGCTGGATACCACACACCACCCTCAGCTGGATACCACACATCACCCTCAGCTGGATACCACACACCACCCTCAGCTGGATACCACACACACCACCCTCAGCCGGATACCACACACACCACCCTCAGCTGGATACCACACACCACCCTCAGCTGGATACCACACACCACCCTCAGCTGGATACCACACACCACCCTCAGCTGGATACCACACACCATTCTCAGCTGGATACCACACACCACTCTCAGCTGGATACCACACACCACCCTCAGCTGGATACTACACACCACCCCTCAGCTGGATACCACACACCATTCTCAGCTGGATACCACACATCACCCTCAGCTGGATACCACACACACCACTCTCAGCTGGATACCACACACCATTCTCAGCTGGATACCACACACCACCCTCAGCTGGATACCACACATCACCCTCAGCTGGATACCACACACCACACTCAGCTGGATACCACACACCACCCTCAGCTGGATACCACACACCACCCTCAGCTGGATACCACACATCACCCTCAGCTGGATACCACACACCACCCTCAGCTGGATACCACACACCACCCTCAGCTGGATACCACACATCACCCTCAGCTGGATACCACACACCACCCTCAGCTGGATACCACACACCACTCAGCTACCACAGCTGGATCAGCTGGATACCACACATCACCCTCAGCTGGATACCACACACCACCCTCAGCTGGATACCACACATCACCCTCAGCTGGATACCACACACCACACTCATATAGTGCTGGCAAATTAGGGGTTGTGGATTCAGTAGGTTTCATCACACTGACTGATAGTTCTGATCTGTTTGAACCTTTAAATAGCTGAACAGGTTTTGTGTTTATTTCTTCTTCCTGAATCTAGGCTTAGAGGGAACGATAACATGAAGTGACCATCACTCTACAGCTTCCATAAGTCTGTGTCCAGGTATATGAGTCACAGCTATTGTGAAATGACACATACATACAAATCTGTCATAAGTCTGTGTCCAGGTATATGAGTCACAGCTATTGTGAAATGACACAGACATACAAATCTGTCATAAGTTTGTGTCCAGGTACATGAGTCACAGCTATTGTGAAACGACACACCCATACAAATCTGTCATAAGTCTGTGTCCAGGTATATGAGTCACAGCTATTGTGAAATGACACAGACATACAAATCTGTCATAAGTCTGTGTCCAGGTACATGAGTCACAGCTATTGTGAAATGACACAGACATACAAATCTGTCATAAGTTTGTGTCCAGGTACATGAGTCACAGCTATTGTGAAATGACACAGACATACAAATCTGTCATAAGTCTGTGTCCAGGTATAAGAGTCACAGCTATTGTGAAATGACACAGACATACAAATCTGTCATAAGTCTGTGTCCAGGTATATGAGTCACAGCTATTGTGAAATGACACAGACATACAAATCTGTCATAAGTTTGTGTCCAGGTACATGAGTCAGAGTCACAGCTATTGTGAAATGACACAGACATACAAATCTGTCATAAGTCTGTGTCCAGGTACATGAGTCACAGCTATTGTGAAATGACACAGACATACAAATCTGTCATAAGTCTGTGTCCAGGTATATGAGTCACAGCTATTGTGAAATGACACAGACATACAAATCTGTCATAAGTCTGTGTCCAGGTGTATGAGTCAGAGCTATTGTGAAACGACACAGACATACAAATCTGTCATAAGTTTGTGTCCAGGTACAGTGAAGCCCCGTTAGTCCGGACTCCGATAATCCGGATGTCTCGCCTCCCGGGCGATTTCAGCTTGTTACCAATCTATGCCTATATGATTTGCCTCGATAATCCGGAAATTCGGTTTCCAGAACCGGACGGTAAGTAGCTGTCACCAATCAGTAAAATAAACAGTAAATTGCTTCACAGTCCGGACGCTGTAAGTCGTGTTCACGAACCGTAACAACACCTCCCGGCGATGTTTACTTAATTAACTGGCCAACTGGGTTGTTGTTTTAATTAGACATTAAAAGCTTCCGACTGAAGATACTGTACATTGGATGACAAGTGAGCTGTTTTGTGATTGGTTAATGTACTTTGACAGACAGATGCGGTCACGTGGACTTAAAGTGATTTTGCTTTACGACAATGCTGCAAGTCACAAGTGTGCTTCGCTAACTTTGCGAAATGTGACCAAATACCACGTCTCATATTCAACCGATGGATGCAGGAATAATTCGGACATTCAAGGCATACTACAATAGATCGCTTGTTAGACATTACCTCACCTGTGCTGAGGAAGGACGTGATCAGACACGTCGGATCAACATGCGGATGTCACTCGGTAAAATTATTGATGTGATGAATTAAGCTTTACATTAAATGCTTATTTGTTTTATCCAGATTCGTGTCGTTTTTGTAATAGTTAGGGAAGCAACTTGAGTCTTGATTCAGTAGTCCGGACTATTTGCAATCCGGACGAATTTACTGAGAAACGCAACCGTCCGGATTAACGAGGCTTCACTGTATATGAGTCACAGCTATTGTGAAACGACACAGACATACAAATCTGTCATAAGTCTGTGTCCAGGTTCATGAGTCACAGCTATTGTGAAATGACACAGACATACAAATCTGTCATAAGTCTGTGTCCAGGTATATGAGTCACAGCTATTGTGAAACGACACAGACATACAAATCTGTCATAAGTTTGTGTCCAGGTACATGAGTCACAGCTTTTGTGAAACGACACAGACATACAAATCTGTCATAAGTCTGTGTCCAGGTATATGAGTCACAGCTATTGTGAAATGACACAGACATACAAATCTGTCATAAGTTTGTGTCCAGGTACATGAGTCACAGCTATTGTGAAACGACACAGACATACAAATCTGTCATAAGTCTGTGTCCAGGTACATGAGTCACAGCTATTGTGAAATGACACAGACATACAAATCTGTCATAAGTCTGTGTCCAGGTACATGAGTCACAGCTATTGTGAAACGACACAGACATACAAATCTGTCATAAGTTTGTGTCCAGGTGCATGAGTCACAGCTATTGTGAAATGACACAGACATACAAATCTGTCATAAGTCTGTGTCTAGGTACATGAGTCACAGCTATTGTGAAACGACACAGACATACAAATCTGTCATAAGTTTGTGTCCAGGTGCATGAGTCACAGCTATTGTGAAATGACACAGACATACAAATCTGTCATAAGTCTGTGTCCAGGTATATGAGTCACAGCTATTGTGAAACGACACAGACATACAAATCTGTCATAAGTTTGTGTCCAGGTATATGAGTCACAGCTATTGTGAAACGACACAGACATACAAATCTGCACACATTCTGACCCAAGTTACCCTGTAAATCCACTTGGGTAAATGGTGATTTTGACCACAAGTGGTTCATGAACATTTAGTAACAGTAAAATCTAACCTAAAACCAGTGTATGAAATAAGCCAAAAAACCTAGTTAGACATCTGGGCTCAAAAAACTTACCAGCCCAGAAGTGATTTAACCAGTGCTTTAAATACTAAATAGACAGTGCCAGGGACAAGTTATCTGAATATTTTTTTTTCACCCATCCGAGCTGTAAAATTAGACCGTCCGGCAGAAATCTTGCCCGCCTTGGGCGGTTGGACGGGCCTTATTTCATACACTGCTAACATATGACTTGTAAACTCACTTTCTCTTTTGAAGTTCAGAGACTCTTGTCTCCATTGCAGTCTTATCTCGTTTCAGCTCTCCGTTTTCTCTACTGGCCAGTGACAGTCTGCAATAGATATCCATCAATCAAAGACAGTGTGACATTTGTTTCCTGGCTTATGCCACCCACATCCACACTCACATCCACATCTACTTACATCCACTTCCAAACTTACATCTACATCCACACTTACATCAACACCCACACCAACACTTACATCCATGTCCACACCTACATCCACATCCACACTTACATCCACACCTACACTTACATCCACACTTACATCCACACCCACACTTACATCCAGATCAACGTCCACACTTACATCCACACCAACACTTACATCCACATCCACACTTACATCATACCCACACTTACATTCACACTTACATCCACACCCACACGTACATCCACATCCATGTCCACACTTACATCCACATCAACACTTACATCTGCATCCACACCTACATCCACATCAACACTAACATCCACACCCATACTTACATCCACATCCACATCAACAATTACATCCACACCCACACTTACATCCAGATCAACGCCCACATTTACATCCCACACACTTACATCAACACTTTACATCCACATCCACACTCCGCACTTACACACTCTTACATCCACATCAACCTTTTACATCCACATCAACAGCTACACCCTTACATCCACATCCACTTCATCCGCACTTATTTCCACATCCATATCCACACCCACACTCAAATCCCACACTTACATCCACACAGACACACACCACACTTACATCCCAGTTACATCCACACTCACACTTACATCCATACCCATACTTCCACATACACCCACATCCACACCTACATCCACATCAACATCCATGTGGGACACTTACATCCACATCACACGCCATCCACACTTACATCCACATCTTATATCCACATCCACACTTACATCCATATCCACACTTACATCCACACCCACACTTACATCCACATTTACATCCATGTCCACACCTACAACCACAGCTCACACCAAGACTTACATCCACACCCACACTTACATCCACAGCCACACCTACACTTACATCCAAATCCACACTTACATCCACGTCCCCACTTTCATCCACATCCACACTTACATCCACATCAACACTTACATCCACACCCACACTTACATCCAGATCAATGTCAACACTGACATCCACATCCACACTTACATTGAGATCCACACTTACATCCACACTCACACTTACAACCACATCCACACTTAAATCCACATCCACACTTACATCCACACCCACACTTACATCCACATCCACACTTAAATCCACATCCACACTTACATCCACACCCACACTTACATCCACATCCACAATTACATCTACACCCACATCCACACTCGAACCCACACATTACATTCATCTTTCCATCTGTTTGTACATTGTAAACTAAATCGGCCCATGTGTGCTATGACAACAAAATTTGTGCTAAGCAAAAATTTAAGCTGAGGTGACTTTTCTCATGGTGCCTATCTCCAAGGCCAACAGTGAAGCACCCACCTTCAAGAACTGCAGGTTGTGCCTATTCTTTACCCTGATGACCCTCTAGAGGCCAGTCCTAATGAATTTGAAGCATTGGAGTACAGAGTATCCCAATTATTCTTGTGATTCTTTTCAAACTTGAAGCTTACAGCGAAGAAGATACATCTACTTACTGGTGTTTAAGATCTTCCATGATTTTTTTCAGTTCTATGAGCCTTGTGTCAGTGATGCCTTCCTTGAATATTACATCCGCTCTCTCCTGGTCCTGACAACACAAACAGTTCACTCATACAGTCAGGTCAAGGGCAATACCACTGTACCTAAGGTAATGCTGGTAATGCATGTTACAAGCATCCTAACATGGCGGCAGGTAAGATCGCTTGGAGATTATTCCCCTCGAATTAGCAGCCTTCCATGTGTATATAATCAACATTATTTAGCACACTGATAAACTTTGATGGTGGAAATACATTCAATGCACTGAATTTGCTAATTAATGCCTATGTGTTGAAGAATAAGCATTTTTAAAATCGCACTAGGATGTCGGTAACTCAAAGTCTGGATGTTGGTAACGTGCAATGAATGATGCTGGTAACACATACTGTCTTGCTTTAGTCGGTAAACAGGAATTGTCGATTTATGTTTAAACACAAAGGAGACACAAATATCAGTTCTTATGTTTTACACAGATGTGTACTGCTGCTACATTAACAGTATGAGCGACTTTTTATGTGTGTCTGTGATCTCACCTTCCCATGTCTACATGATCTCACCTTCCCAAGTCTACATGATCTCACCTTCCCAAGTGTACATCATCTCACCTTTCCCCAATATACATGATCTCACCTTTCTCCAATATACATGATCTCACCTTCCCAAGTGTACATCATCTCACCTTCCCAAGTGTACATGATCTCACCTTTCCCTGGAGTAAATGATCTCACCTTCCCAAGGAGTACATCATCTCACCTTCCCTCAGTGTGCATGATCTCACCTTCCCCTGGAGTACATTATCTCACCTTCCCCAGAGTACATGATCTCACCTTCCTCCAGTGTACATGGTATCACCTTCCCTGGAGTACAAGATCTCACCTTCCCCTGATGTACATGATCTCACCTTCCCTGGATGTACATGATCTCACCTTCCCCTGATGTACATGATCTCACCTTTCCCCATGAGTACATGATCTCACCTTTCCCAAGTATACATGATCTCACCTTCCCAGTGTACATGGTATCACCTTCCTTGGAGTACATGATCTCACCTTAACTTGTGTACATGATCCCACCTTCCCTGGAGTAAATGATTTCACCTTCCCCTGATGTACATGATCTCACCTTCCCCACGATATACATGATCTCACCTCCCCTGGAGTACATGATCTCACCTTCCCCAGTGAACATGATCTCACCTTCCCTGGAGTGTAAATGATCTCACCTTCCCCCAGTGTACATGATCTCACCTTCCCCCAATATACATGATCTCACCTTCCCCAGTGTACATGATCTCACCTTCCCCCGATATACATGATCTCACCTTCTCCAGTGTACATGATCTCACCTTCCCTGGAGTACATGATCTCACCTTCCTCTATGTGCATGATCCCACCTTCCCTGGAGTACATGATCTCAGCTTCCCCTGATGTACATGATCTCACCTTTCCCACGATGTACATGATCTCACCTTCCCTGGAGTAAATGATCTCACCTTCCCCAGTGAACATGATCCCACCTTCCCTGGAGTAAATGATCTCACCTTCCCCATTGTACATGATCTCACCTTCCCTGGAAGTATGTGATCTCACCTTCCCCAGTGTATACATGATCCCCTGGGTACATGATCTCACCTTCCCTGGAGTATGTGATCTCACCTTCCCCAGGGTACATGATCCCACCTTCCCCAATGTACATGATGTAATCTTCCACAATGTACATGATCTCACCTTCCCTGTGTACATGATCCTCACCTTCCCCGATGTACATGATCTCACCTTCCCCATGTACATGATCTCACCTTCCCCTATGTACATGATCCCACCTTCCCCGATGTACATCATCTCACCTTTCCCATTGTAGATCATCTCACCTTCCCCCGATGTACATCATCTCACCTTTCCCGATGTACATCATCTCACCTTCCCAATGTACATGATCTCACCTTCCCAGGGTACATCATCTCACCTTCCCCCGATGTACAGCATCTCACCTTCCCCGATGTACATGATCTCACCTTCCCCCAATGTACATGATCTCACCTTCCCCGGGTACATGATCTCACCTTCCCCCAATGTACATGATCTCACCTTCCCCCGATGTACATGATCTCACCTTCCCTGATGTACATGATGTAATCTTCCACAATGTACAAGAACTCACCTTCCAAGACAGCTGTGACTGGAGGTCAGCTATTGTCCTCTTCTGGTCCTTGATCAGCTGTTCCGAGGTCACTAACTCTGTTCTGGCTAGCCTGGAACAGTGTATTGTAACCTTTCTAATGTGTTCTCCAGTGTAGTCAACCTTCAAACAGGCAAGCTGAATGTTGAATGAGCATATATTAGCAGTGTGTGATCTTAGCCACAAGCCCAGGGGCTCCTTTCACGAAGCAACCTTTTTGCTAAGGTTAACCTTAACTCCCATACTTTAACATTGCGCTAAGATTACCGTAGTGACTTACAATCACCTTAGGGCTTTGTGAAAGGAGACCCTGATCCTGAGAATTTTGTTTGGGCCAGTTATTCCAGCTAATAATAGTCCATATGATGGCCTGCTTGTAGTAATCATGATCCTAGAGCTAGGAAACAAATGTCACTGGTACTGGGAGGCTAGGCAGGAAAACAGCAAGTACTGTCTTTAACTGTGTTTTCTTAAGGACAGGGGTTGAACCACTAACAATCCATTGAAGTAAAGTATGCATGTACTTACACACCAGTCTTATTGAGTCTTACTTTCAGACCTGCATGATCGTAACCAAGGCATAAAGGTTTGGTCAACTGGTCCTACCACTGCTGTGTTTCTGTTATATCACAGTGCTGATGTCAAGATTGTTTCTGAGTTGTCTGAATTTGTCTGAGTTGAACCACCCTGCTGTGAAAAGTGTTTCTGTCATATCACAGTGCCGATGTCAACAAGGTTTTGCATATAAGAGAGTGAATGATGTTAAACGCAACAGTCAAGCATGAGCATGTGTGCCATGACACACAATCAGGCAAGTCATGGCGTCTCACAAACAAACGCTATATAGTCAGTTCTAAGTCCGGGAAACTAAGCATCTGTAGTGCAGTGGGTATTGTAACCCATCCGAGTTGACCATTGAGTTAAGACTGTCATGGCGTTAAGATTGAATGGGGTCCTGGTCCACACCTGTCCTCAGAACTGTGAGGGGTAGAGACATGATACTATTCTTGTCTCAAAATCAAACTAGACCTGAGAACTCCATGGTAATATGACATACAACTGACACTTCGTTGTTTTCTCTCTATGTGATATGTATTAAAAGGTGTCTGGATTCTGCACCACTTCCCTTTGTTTGCAACACAAGCATCACAAGTCAACTATGAGTTATCTCCCTTTGTCATGCAAACGTCCATCTGCACCCAACCATTTCCTGACCAGACACCAGAGCCCTGCAGATCCTACTGGAGTTGTAACCTGTTACTATCAGCATCAGGCAGTGAACTATTGTTATATACACCTCACCTGAGTTCTTTCTGCAGTGTCTCCACCTGGGCTGTGACCGAAGCCATACTCTGCATGTACTGCTCCTTGACCTGAGAAACATTCAGTACAGGGTTTTGTGTTAATCTAAAGGTTCAAAGTAAAGCAGGAAATAGCAACAAGAGAGTTGCTATAAAACAATCAATATATAAAATGCCTCCAAAGGAATATTTCTGTATAAAAAATGCATTCAAGTCTGTTAAATAATCCAATGTGGCCTTTAGCAGATCTTTGTAACATGAGTTTCTTTAGCCATTAGAATCTGAAGCATATGATAACTGAAAACTGAGGAGGTGATGCACCACAACTCAGTGTACCTGGTGTGCCTGTTGTTCCACCACCCTCCACTGATGGGATTCCTTCTCAGCCTGGAACAAACCAAACAGAAACTTTCATGAAATATGTAGAATGGTTTAAATGTATCTCCCTAAGTTCATCCAATGACATGACCTGGTTCAAATCATTAAATATCAGATGTACAAGGGCTCAGATTATATAGACAAAATTGGCCTTATTCTCACATATTACCACACATCTGGACATCTCCTCCGCAGAGTGTCAATGTCAGGCAATGGTTGGGTTCACACAAACTTCATGTACAGAGTAGACTAATTTGACTTAGACACAGCCTCATTTCATTACTTAATGAAACAAGTAAAAGGCGACTAAGGGGATCAGGCGGTCAGGCTTGCTGACTTGGTTGACAAATGTCATCGTATCCCAATCGCGAAGATCGATGCTCATGCTGTTGATCACTGGATTGTCTGGTCCAGACTCGATTATAGCTGGAATATTGCTGAGTGTGGCATTAAACAACACACCAACTTAATGAAACATTATCACTTCTATGTGGAGTATACAAAACTTTTGAAGTATTGACGATGTACATACAACATATAGCATTTATTCAAATACTTGAGTGACCTTGACTTACCTCCAGCTCTTTCTCCAGACGGTCGATCTCCTGAGACGCTGCTCTCCATTTCTGCTCAGCTGATTCCTTCTCCTGTGGTGAAACACATTAAGGTGAGGTGAGGTGAGGTGAGGTGAGGTGAGGTGAGGTGAGGTGAGGTGAGCTTGAGAATTTGGGTTTGAAGTTGTGCTTGAGAATGCATGCATGTGTATGTGTATGTGTATGTGCGGCTGCTTGTACTAGCCCAGACTGAAGCTGGTTTTATGGTGCTACCCCACTGAGATACCATGCTGCAGTGAAGCATGAATACCCTACTCAGACACATTATACTGACTCTGAGCCGACCAGTCCTTGTTGTACCCATTAATGCCAAGCGCCAGGCAGGGACCAACAAGTACCATATTTTAATGTCTTTTTGTATGAGGGGGTCGGGGATGGAACCCACGACCTACCACTCTCCAGGCGGACGCTCTAACCACTACACCACGGAGGTGGTCTGAAGCACATTAAGGGGTTATTAATGATTTTGAGTTCTAATTTCCACTTTGTTGTCAATACTGTGATATATATTTCAGCTTCCAAACTATAGCCAGGTACTTGATAGTGACTAACATGCCATCATTGCTATCTGGCTATACAGTCATCTACCTCCCTCCCCTCTCAGAGTCTCACCTGGGCAGCCATTTTCAGCTGTTCCTGGAAGTTTAGCAGCATCTGGTCATCATCTAATGCAGGTGCTCCTTCCTCCACCCCAGACAGTCCCACCATCCCCATCCCTGATGACAGCTGATCTTCCACATTCTTACGGAGTTCGCCACCCAGTCTGCAACAGTCCACTAAGTGTAACAGATCATGACAATTAAGGACTTGCAGGGCAGTACCAGCAAGTGTATTGACTTAGCATGTTTATAGACAGACCCCCTTGTCTTTTAGAGGCACTGGTACAAAACAAAGGACAAATGTGTCTCTATATCATGCCCGTCTAATGGAGCTAAAGAAGAGAGCATCATGTGAAACACTTTAATGTTGTGTAGACGTCCAGAAGAATCCAATAACAAGTAACATATCTAAGGCTTCAGTCCTGCCGCACAACGAAGCACATGTGATACATGTGGTCTCACCTTAGGAAAACTTTTCATGTATTTTCACTAAATGGTAAAATGCAAATGACACGCCAAAATGAGTAACAAAGGTATTTGACACCAAAAAGCCACTAAATAGGTGCTACATAGACAGGATCTTAAAATCAAAACACATTTGTGACCCAACTTGAAGGGCGTATTATGATGATTATTGTGCTCCTGATGAGAAATATGCTTTGGAATTCAAGGAGGACAATTATTACTAATCTAAATGTCATCTATTGCTCTGAAAAAAGATCAGTTTGACACTGTGGTTTATTGCCCTGGGTTCCTGTGCAGAAAGCCATCTTAGTGACAAGATTATTGTAACTGTCAGAACCAAAACATGAACATAGAATAGACTTTGCTTGTGTAAATGTCCAAAGATGAGATATACTTTCTTTAAACAAACACATTGGGATGTCAGAAAAGTAATTAAAACACAATATCACCTTTCATTTTCTGAGAGTAATTCTTCAGTGGTCTGCCTTAGTTTATGTAGCTCAGCCTGAAGAAGAAATAACACAATTTTGGCACCGACTTTCCCCTCCATGGATCACAGACATAGGAGGATTACATTTCAACTTTTTCAAATTACTGGCGTTCATTCAATCTTACAAATATGATATGAAATACATCACCTGGAAGGTGTAAACCATAAACTAACTTAAATAAGGAAACAGCAACACACAAATGTATCAATTAGAGTAACTGTGTCAGTGTAGGATTAGTTCATTGTTAATACCTTTTCATTACTTATTTCAGCTTCTTGTGCATGAATGATTCCGTCATACTCGATCAGCAGTGGAGTCAGGACACTGAAACAAGCCAGATTTCAAAACCAATATTTCCCCTGCAAAGCCAATCACTAACGTTGCTTTGAACAGTATTGAGAAGAGCCTGAGATGATGTAAATCTTTGAAGGGCATTTAGAAGTGGGATGCATAAGAAAAGAAAGATTTATGGATGTCAACTTCTTTATTGTGAACAACACGACGTTTCGGATTGTATGCTTGCACATTCACCTGATGAAGGTGATACAGTTAATAAATTGCAGTGACAACAGGTATAAGAACCAGCAAAATATAACACAGACAAGTCTAAAATATTCTTTAATATATTGAGCAAACAATGAGCAAGATACAATGAATCACAATACAGATTTCTAGTACAATGCAATTGAGTCACAAATCTAAAGTTTTGAGTCACAAATATAAAATATCAACTCACCACGAGCCTTGGTAATTACAATGAGATCAGATATTCTAAATGAAGCTTGTTTACAAATGAGAGCAGTCAAGCACGAAGTGTCAGGGTCAGACTATGTTGACTAAGGCAAACAACAATGGTAGACAACTCCATGAAAAGTCCTGTGTAATTCTGTGTGTCAGTCCGTGTGTGATTCCACGTGGCACAACTCAACAACCAGCTTTTATATATACTGACACAGAGTCTAGAACATTCTGTATCCACTCAGAACTTTCTGGAAATCTGTGGAAAACTCCACGACATGACGACGTCAACAAATAAACAACCGGTCAAGGGAGGTAACTCTGGAGCACTATCCCCAAACGTGTGCTGCTAAAATACTATTGCTATTGAACATATATGACGCGAAATGCGGCCCACAACCCAAACTCAAAACTTTTAACATTGTGACTCATAATAACTATCACCTAATCAATGCTATTACAAATTACAAAAAACACACTCTCGTAACAAAGGAGCAAGCATACACTCTGAAACGTCGTGTTGTTCACAATAAAGAAGTTGACATCCCTAAATCTCTCTTTTCTTGAGATGATGTAGGTCCCACAATTATGGTTGTGGTGCTGAAAACCTAGAAATATCATCAGGGTCAACATAAAATTCAAACCCACGATTCTCCATTTCTAGCAATGACATGTCCACAAAGAAAATCCATAATACAGGATATTTTACTGGACACATCACCCCTCAGAGATAAAATGGACACCATGAAGGTAAATGTGTGCCCAAAGAAAAGAGTTATGAGAGAATACACATGAAACCACAACAAAACAGGCAGCATCCCTTGATGACATCACATCAACATAATGTCAAGACGGAATGACACCTTACATGGCAATCTTATATCATACCAAACATAAAGATTCCAATCTACATTACCTTCTGTCTGTTGTGCTTGGTAAGAGATAACTACCTTGAGCCTGTTGACAGAAGGAAGAATAAGCATAAACAAGTCTGAAAAGAAACAAGCTTCTTTCTGAGGGCCCATTCCACAAAGTGATCTTAGCTCTACAACTGATTTGATGTGAAAGTATGGGAGTTATGACAGTTAACAGGCCGAGAAGGTGCATTAGCACTAAATCAGCTTTGTGAAACAGACCCAGCAGCTGCATTATTATAAAGAAGTGTTCTGATCAGCATGGCAAGGCCCAAAATACAGTCTCCATCCAGTGTATGTTACTCTCATTACAAGTCAAATACAAGTAAAGCATTTGGTACAAAACCGTTTTCAGACACTGCATGAACAACAATAAGCCTCTGTCCGGTACCGGACAGAGGCTGAACCCCATTTATCACAACCTCACCATCAAGCTGCCAACATTTTGGGACAATGTGGTGTACATGCAACCATGTTTCATCGATAAAGATGATTGTTCGATTTTCATCTCGACATTTTTGATTGCACGGTAAGTATTGCACGCGTTTGGCAACGATGTCTTTTCGTTCCATTAAAACCTTACGATTTGACTGCGTTTTTCACCACCTAAACCCCATGTCTTTCAGATTTTTTCCAAAACTTTCCTTTGAATTCTGGTAATGCAATTGGCTTCTTGCCATATCATATATCATATCTGGAGTAGGCTGTTGCTTTTGTACTCCATATAAACTTTGTACAAATTGATGGACTGCACACCGGTCAAAATCATCAAGTTTGTGCTTGGAAATTTTGGGTTTGCACAACTTGGTTGGACTAATAAAAGTAGGCCTACTCACACTGCTATCACTTTCCACTTTAATATGTTTTAAAGTTGCCTTGGAAAGACCAGTAGCAAGGCTACTTTTTGACATAGCGTCTACTTTGGTTGTACACGTCTTTTCCATATAAATAATAACATTGTAGGCTAACTCCCTTGCCTGAGAATGAACAATTCGCCCATGCTTCCCTAAATTGGAATGTTAAATTAATTAAAATCTGCAAACATTCCAATAATTGACTCGTGACGAGATGGTGTCTTGCTGAACTAAATTGCTCTACGAGACACGTGTTAAACAGCAGCAGCATTGAGTTCACGCCACGATCAGCATGTATTGCACGTGCTTAATCGCCAATCTACCTGTAGTAACCAAGTGTATTTGTCTAGATTCCCTGCCCCACCTACTTGTCACAAACGCGTGTACTGCGCAGGCTCATCTAATACGAGTCAAGCAGTAGCTTTATTTATAACAAGGGGAGATAACTCATTTGTTATCCTGCTTTGTTATACATTTAACAGTTGAAATGGATCAGATTATGCTTTGCAAAATATTTTGACAAATTTGAAAACTAAACAAATAAACATTCTGGAATGTTTAATCATGTTAATAGATGGTCAGAATGTATGGCAATACTTCCCAAAGGTTAAAGTTTTCCACTGAAGCGAGAGATAGACAATGATCTTAATGGAATCAGTTGTACAGTCCTAAACACTCATTTGGAATTCTCTGCATTAACCTTTTCAAGTTGCATGCTTAGATAAAACATTCTGAGTGCCACTTTCTGTATGTGGTAAGCAATGCTCTGATTGGTTGGATCAAAGGTTGTCCTGAAATGACCAGTAATGCTATAGATGTCCCAAGATCTCTGTTCAGTGGATGAGCATTAAGATTTGAATTTGATGTACATATATGTAGTTATCTCAGAGCTACCTCACCTCTGGTGTGTATGAAGGATACTTCCTCTGATAGCTGGCCAACAGAGAATTTAGTCGCACAACTGTAAGGCAAAAGGAAACAATGACAAATACTTAACATAAACAATGAAAACTTAATACTTAATACAACAACCCACAATAACTGAATAGTGTCAGAGTAAATGATTTAATATTCAGTCAGTTCATCATCAACTACATATCATGTCTAATTATTTAGGAACAAAACTTTTAGCAATTTTAAAAGAAAAAAGAATTGTAATGTTATTTCTATAAATATCATGTTAGGTGATTAGTGCTACTACAACTCAGGGTTTTAGATTGGTGATTATTCTAAGACAATGTTATATGAAGTTCCTTCCTAAAATTGGTAACCACATTGACTAATAATATCAGAAAATATACATATATATATTGGAATACCAATGCACCATGTATGTTTGGCACGACTTATCATGTTATTATAGTTTTATCCAACAGTGTGACCATTTGAAACTAGTGTATAAGATAGTGGCAGTTACGCTCGGCAGAAACAATCACTGCATTTATAATCATGGCTCATAAGAGTAAACCTCAAAATTGAATATCAATCAAAGCTATAAATAAACATGGAAAAATCATGAAAGCATCTGTCAACCTCATCAGTAAAATTAATTGCATTGCCATTTGGTCTTTGAGATGTTTCATGCATGGTTGCATATTTGTACACAAACAAGAAATATATGTTATATGTACATATTCCCTAATTGGATCCTCTGCCTCATTATGCTCTTGTGCACTGGAAACTATACATGCATGTTTTTCATAAACTTGCTAGTCATTTTTGCAATTGAATTTCGATAATTTGGGTATGGTAACATGGATAACATGGACAAGATGCTTAGAAAGTGAGGGACAACAAATAACTATGAAAATAACTGGTGCATGAACATGATGTATGATCTGACATTGTTGACATGCTGTAGTCATCCAAATAACAAATAGACGGCATTTTTCTTTTATTATTTCAAATATTTACCTTACGGAAACCTTTTATTTATACTTTGTAGAGATTAAGAAAGATTCACAAATAACTGACTTGCTACATTGAAACTTTATTCACACTTCATTGTAGATAAAGAAGATAAAACTCAGAGTTTTTACTCGGCTATGTATCGATACATGTTGAAACATGAGCAATAATGCCTGTTGGACAAAAACTTGCCTTGATCATTTAAAAATACGAGGTCTTGGGTTGCCATTTTGGTTACATGCGAATGTGTTTGATGCGACTCGGTGGTGACAAAGTATTAGAGATATTAAAGATAATCGCAAGAAACGCAGACTTGAAAAATGCTCTCGACATTTACACGACGGTTGTATTTCGCCGCCATATTTGTTTACATGTAAGCCCGCACTTCGAATTTCTCAGAAAACAAATAGAAACTTGCTAGCAAATACAAACTTTGCACAGATTATGATTATATTGTCGAAATGCATCTGATACATATTTGTTATATTTTTCATTATTACCGACCGTAGTTTTTATCCAATACAAATACACCCCTATTCTGATTCCGAACTATAAAAGTCACATGATTGGCCAAGATGGAGGAGGTGGATAACATCATTATCCATTCCTTGAAATCCATTGACTGGTAATTATTGTGACAGTGATTTAGTGCATATGTGATAAGAATTGAATCGTCATTTGAATTCTCTGTAACAACTGTCGGCCCCAACTGTCATTGTTTAATGGTAGTTTATTTTCAAACGCGTGAACATCTGGAAAGCAATGCCGTAAACTTTCACAAGATACAGTGTCAGTAATCAACTCTACAGTACAAATCAGCTGCATGATATCTTGGCGGATGTTGTTAATATGACACTACCTAATTACCAGTTCATTGTCATTTTAATCATATCAGCACAATATAAAAAAGGTTACATGCACTTATATCGTTGCTGTAGACTATACGACAATGCCAACAGTGACCCAACACTATTAAAACTGCAGTACCTGACATAACCATTGACAAACAAAAGATGAAACAATCTACATCCATCAATTGTTATTGCAGTCATTGTCATGTGAACTTTGCTTAAAACATAAACACCTAGATATATATCCACTTGAAAACTCTGTCCATATTCATTAACATTTATTATGCAATCATAATGTTTACGCTAAAATATCACAGAAGTACAATGTCACTGAACAAAAACAGCGCCAAGTGGCATTAACTAAACCTTGCCCCAAACAGAAATGAACATCACTGAATGGCCAGCGTTTGGTAGCGGCAGGTCATACATTTTTGCTCTCTAGAAAATGCTTAATAACTAAATACTGTCGTTGTGTGAGAAGGAGATCTTCTGCATGGATGTTTGTGATAACATCTGCCAGCTATCTTTGAAATTTGGAGACTAAAAAATATCAAGAAATGAAGGAGGTATTGCAGTTTTTCTTCATATTCTGTGTATTTTCTTGTGGGAATTTACTCAGAAACCAAGCCACCAATCAAGCCCATCAGTTAAGTCATCAGCCAGGAACAATGCAAACCAGCTGTCAGCACCCAAGCTATACCAGAGAGGACCTATTAGCAGAGCTCCAGATAAGATTGAGCTCATGTGGGTACTGTACCCACTGTATTTTTTTGGAGTGGGTATTATGAATGTTGAGTGGGTATTTCATTTTTCGTTACCCACTGAAAAACTTTGGAGAACAACAGGTTTGGAAGTTCATCGTCAAATATACAAGCAAAGCAGAAATCATGTTAATATCCTTATCAGGAAGGCTAAGATTAGCCATGTTAAGGATAGATTTCAGCAGTGCCGGAATAATTCTAAAGAACTTGTAGCAATTACAAAGCAACTGACAGAACCTAAACTGGAGAGCCAAGCAAACCAATCACACAAGAAGTTGCAGAGAATTTTGTTACCTTCTTTAAGGAAAAAGTGTGCGATATCCGTGACAGTATTACATCTATGCATGAGCAGATGGATCCGCTGAGATACGATACTCCTTTTACTGGAACTGTTATGATATCTTTCACAGATTGTGGCATGGAAGAACTAGTAAAGCTGATTAGAAAATCACCTAATAAATCATGTGTTCTTGATCCTGCCCCTACATGGATGGTGAGGGGATGTCTTGAGCAATGTACACAGGCAATCTGGAGCATCATAAACATGTCATTATCCAGTGGGAATGTTCCGAACGTCTTCAAAGAAGCGGTAATTAACCCAATTCTGAAGAAACCGGCGCTAGATTCACACTATTCTAAAAAATGTTAGGCCTGTGTCAAATCTTTTGTTCATTTCCAAGATCCTTGAAAAGGTAGTACTAAGCAGACTAAAGGACCATATTCGACAAAATGGACTGTCTGAGGAATTCCAGTCTGCATACAAAGCCGAGCACAGTACGGAAACGGCACTTCTAAGAGTGCATGACGACATTCACAGAGCAATGGATCAGCAGCAGGTATGTCTCCTTGTGATGCTCGATCTGTCGGCGGCGTTCGACACTGTTGATCACTCTATTTTGCTCAGAAGAAGGGAATTGTCAATGGGAATTGATGGAGTGCCCTTGGCATGGTTAAAATCATATCTGTCTGACCGATCCATGTTTGTCAAACTTGGGTCCGATTTCTCAAAACGGTCCTCTCTAGACTGTGGCGTTCCTCAGGGATCCGTCCTTGGGCCAGTTCTGTTCCTCAACTACATATTGCCCTTAGGAAATATTTTCTGTCAACACAACCTTGAGTTGCATGCATATGCAGATGACAATTAAGTGTATATTCGTGCTTCTCCCTCTCGCGTCGACATCAGCCGCCAGCAGCTGCAGCTCTGTATCAAAGATGTGCAGGGATGGATGACTGCTAACTACCTGAAGTTCAATCCAGACAAGACAGAATTCATCATTTTTGGTAGTCGTCAACAACTGACCAAGGCATCCATGGCACCAATTGTGGTTAATGACTCTGTTGTTGCTCCAGTTGAACATGTTAAAAACCTTGGTGTTATCTTTGACAGAACAATGTCCTCTGACAAGCAGGTACTTTCTGTCGCTAAATCTGCATCCTGGCACCTGAGAAACATCGGGAAGATCAGGAAGTGCCTTAATGAAGACACCGCAAAGTTATTGACACACTGTTATATAACTTCCCGTCTGAACTATTGCAACTCACTGATCCACGGGGCCACAGCAGTGCAACATCTCCAGAGGATTCAGAATAATGCTGCACGAGTCATCACAAGGAGCAAAAAGATCAGCCACATCACTCCAGTGCTCAGAAGTTTACACTGGCTCCCTATCAAGCAGCGTATTGTAGCACCATTGTATTTGAGGTCCCTACTTCACAAGTATTGTCCGAGGCGCTCCCTACGTTCAGCAGAAAATGACCTCCTCACAATCCCACACAAAAACAAAACAAAATGGGTGATAGAGCATTCTCGGTGAAGGCTCCCACTTTGTGGAATCACCTGCCACAAAAGATAAAGACCTACTCGTCATTTTGTACCCTTGTGAAAACTTTTCTTTTCAATGATGCCTACAACTCAAATTCGCCACTGAGCAGCAAAAGTTGGAAGGAAGTCGAAATTATTATTATTATTGATCAAAAACATCATCATATTATGCTGTTTTTGTATGGGTGACATTTGCTTAGGTGATGTTTTAGCCTGCACAATATCTGAATACCTTTACAAATATCTAAAAGTCTGTATGATTACATATTTTATGTTATATATAAACCATTGTACCTCTTTTGGAACATATACTGTACTGCTAACATCCATAGACTATTAGTGCATTGCTTCCTAAATGATTTTATTCACATTGCATATTTTTGAAGTGAGTTAACTGTATCTGATGTTATATATGTTATATTTCTGGTTTCAGCGACCTTGACGATGATATTGTCAGTCTGAAACAGTTTAATACAGAGCTTATTGTCTCAACCATCGTGAGTTGCATCAAGTTCATCAACAATGAGATTGACTTGCCAAACACGCTCCCACCGGGCATGTCTGCTCGCTTCAGAATGGGAGCCAGCCTGGCCAACTGTATTCAGGTCAGTTGCAAGCAGTCAAGCAGATAAAGTAAAAGCTAATTCATGTTCTTCAGCAGTATATGTTCAGGGCTGATAAATATGGTAGGAAAGAAGGCATCTGTGTACAAACAGTATATTGCCGTGTATATAGCGACCCCCATGTATAAAGCGACATCCCTGTATAAACCTTCAAAATCAATGCTAATTTACTTACCATGACTGTAATATTACCCTGAATCACATCATCAGAGCATTCATGATCCCTAAATTTGTGACCCTATATGTATTATACATTGCTTGGCCTTTTAGACACAGTGCAACACCAAATTGGTGACAGTCAAAAATTCTGTTCATTTAAGTACTGAAGTAAGTTAGAGGAAGACCGTCTGCTTCCTGTAATTTAATCTATAACTATCTATGTCTTAATTTACTAGGCTTAGTTTTGTATTACTAGGAAACATGTATTCAACAGTCTTCAATGCACACCTTTTCCAGCACTTGCTTATAAATGAGAAAACTGAGGGAATTGACTTCAGGTTCACCTGTTAGATATCTGATTGGAGACGTCTCCTGTTATGAACATGTAATTTCATAGTTGGTCACATTTTGATGTTACTTTCAGATTATTCCAATACAACAATAGAAATAGATATAAGGAATATGTATGTTATGTATTTCATCAAGTAGAGAAACATGAGATCATACATGTAGCAGTTCAGACTAAATACTTAGTCAGGTAGGAAAGATAATCTAATGTTCATTCATTTTCAGAAGAAGTCCTCCTTGGGGTACATATACGCATTAAAATGTCCATTTTAAAACCTATGACAGTTATAACTATAATTTGAATAAAAAATATTTACAAAACAAAACACACGTTTTTGTCTTGTGAGACCACTCCCACAGGCCCCTTAGGGCCCCCTACAGCCATGAGCAGGTAACTGTAGCCGTCTACCTCGCACCTCACTTTTCACTTTACTTTTCTGTATAGAAGACTTGCGTGGTTCGTTTGGAAGTTTTTGTCTTCTACCTTCGACATGAGTGAACAAGAATCAGCTACTGCATGCATGGTTCCTTTTCTTCCGCACAGGCACTAGATGGAATTTATAGGTTGATGTTTTCATTCATAAATTGTTGTTACTTTGCCGTACAGTGCTCTATTCCTGCCATGTGGCAGGCAATATGGCAGACGATGAGGTGTACATTCGTCCTTTATTTGTGTTGTTAGCGATGGCTTTCACCACGATAGAATGTTTGTGTATAATATATATTTATATATTATATAGTAGGCTTGCTTTATTACCTTTGCTTTCAGTGAATTTACAGTAAGTCTTTTTGTATATATATTAGCATGTACTTTGGTATTTGCTATATATACTCCTCACAAGAAGTTAAGCAACAAAAAATGTTTAGTCTCATTACATTTTCATTTATTGAAACTGCAAATCATGGAATGATGCAATAGAAAGGTGAAACATATGTACACAAGATTAGCAAATTGAAATGTAATGGTATTGAGCAATAAGAGACTTATAAATCATCAAAAGCATGTACCCGTGAAACAGTCGTGCAAAATGTGCTGCATTGATGGAGCAAAATGTTAACATTAAGGTTCAAGTTAGTTTTGGACAGTGAAGCAGTGTTCAGTAACGCGTATGATCCACCATGAGCACAAATGCAAGCTTCTACAGTCTTGGCATTGACCAAATGAGCGTTGAAGGTTGCTGTTGAGGAATGTTCTGCCAGTCTCTCTGTAACGCCTGCTCAAGGTCATCCAGAGTCTGGGGGTGAACATGGAGACCGTAAACACGGCTTCCAATAATGTCCCAAGCATGTTCAAGGAGCGAGATGAGGAGGCCGTGGAGGAGGACGTGGGTCACGAGTGCTCGGGTAAAGTTGGCTTCTTGCTCGGCTTGTCCCTGAGACAGGTGCGCGACAGGATTGCCACTGTCTTGCCTCAGGTGGTCGTCCACTCAGACGTCCCCAACCCCGCGGAGTTTAGACTTCCTGGTGAAGCATTTGCTCCCTGTTGGTTGCCAAGAACCCAATTGCTTATCCTCCCATCATTAATCGGTGAGGTTATCAATCCTCTCCTGTTGGGTAGCCATTCTCGGTTTGATCTCCCGGAGCTCAACCGACGCTACCTGATGGGGGAGGAAGGTTTATATGACCCCCCTGTCATCGACGAGTGCATTTATGCCTCGGTCGCCCTGGGGGAGGGTCGTCCGGTCATACCCAAGCTTCGACTCGGCAAGGCCGGCGCCTGCCTCCCTTCACCTCTAATAGCCAAGTTCTGAAATCGGCTTACCCTTCCTTCGAGGAACAGTACCGTAATGCCATTCAGCAACTAGTGAGTGAGTGAGTGAGTTTAGTTTTACGCTGCATTCAGCAATATTCCAGCTATATGGCCAGGGTCTTTAAATAAACGAGTCTGGACCAGACAGTCCAGTGATCAACAGCATGAGCATTGATCTGCGCAATTGGGAACTGATGACATGTGTCAACCAAGTCAGATGAGTGCTGTCATGGGCCTCCATCAACTTTCCCGGTCGCCCTGTACTCATCGGCAACTCAGCAGGCACTATTGTCACTCCCCTTCAGGATGGGTTCAGCCCTATTCCCGGGGGCGTTGATGGTAGTTCAAGAGGCCACGGAGGCGGTTAGCCAATTCAAGAACGCTTGCTTAAGCAAACCCCCCACTCCTCGGGCACAGCCCCCGGTCCTTGCCAATGCATACCCTTTCACCTCGGGGAAGGAGCCAGCTAAGTGGACTGGGACATAGTTCGGAGAGTTACGAGAAGTTTCTGGTAACTCCAGAGTGGCTCATACCTCATTTGCAGTGGTGGACCGACACCGGGAATCTATCCAGGCTTCACCCAGCCTCCATCGTCTGGCAACTCTAGCTGGCGTGTTCACGTCCTAGACGTTCGTAGGATGCTTAAGGCATCCGTAAGGATAAACAGCTGTTCTGCTGTTATGGCGGTGGCAAGGCCGGTCATCCAGCTAACAAACAGACCATATCGAGATGGCTTGTTTCTGTTATATGTATGGGATACATTAATAAAGGCTTAACTCCCCCTGAGGGGTTAAAAGCTCATTCAGTTAGAGCAGTAGCCACCTCCAAGGCATATGCTGCTGTTCTGCCCATTGAGGAGATCTGCTCCGTGGCTATATGGAGCCGACCGAGTACGTTCATCCGTCATTATCAGCTGGACAAACACTCACGTGAGCATGCTCGGTTTGGCCAGACATTTCTCCACAGTGGACAGAGTAGTACCTCTCTAGCCGATTGAGCTTTCGAGACTACATACTCTGTATTTTACTTGGTGTCAGGTTTTTATCATTCCCCTTGTATCGGTGGTGGTATTTGGTGTTTGTTTTTATTCCCACTCTACTTTGGTATTTCGGTGTACTTTACTCATAATTTCCACTTCACTACGCTTTGCTGGCTGGGCGTTACTGACTGTGTTTTTTTTGGCGAGTCCCCCATAGTATACTCCTCCAAACCTTGGATGGGGGTGGTGGTGTGTGTGTGTATTTTAACAAGACACTGTTAGCCAATCAGCTATAGGCTAAGACATTTCGGGTCCTCACTCTAGCCATGCCCCCTGCTTTGATTGACATTGGCGATCAGGTGACTTGGAAAGTGTAATTTTCTATCTCTGCTCGGTTGTAAAATGTTACTTCCAAATTGTTTGTTATGTCAGATAGAATGCCCAAAGGAGGACTTCTTCGGTAAAAGAATCGTACAAACCTGTAGAGGTTATTGATTCTTTGAAGAAAGTCCTCCTTTGAGTATGGCCACCCGCCTCCCCTCATTCTGTCTGATTCGTTCAGCATGAAAAGTGAGGTGCGAGGTAGACAGCTAGAGTTACCTGCTCTTGGCTGTAAGGGGCCCTGTGGGGCCATATTGGGGTGGTCTAACAAGACAAAAACATGTTTTTTATTCAAAATATAGTTACAACTGTCGTAGGTTTTTAAATGGACATTTTAATGCTTATATGTACCCCAAGGAAGACTTTCTTCAAAGAATCAATAACCTCTACAGGTTTGTACGAATTTATATGGCTTAACTGTTCTTGTTGACACTCATCTGATTTGTTACTATCGTTATGTGGTTGCCCATATTTTTCAGGATCTTGGATACCGTGGAGACCTGGGCTACCAAACATTCCTGTATTCCAATGAGAGTGAAATCAGGAAGATATTTATGTTCCTGGTTGAGAAGCTACCTAAAGATACCTCCCAGACAGCTGAGGAACCACTAGGTAGGAGATTCTGGGCTTCCTTCCAGTTAAGAGAGTTGCCAGGAATTGTGTAATTGGGACTGAATTGTAGTCACCTTTGATATGAGTGCCAATTATGATATAAGCTCCAAACTCCACAGAATCTATAAAACCGGTAATCTGATAGTAAACATGCCATGCATTAAGCAAACAAGCCCTAACAGTCAACCATAACAAATTTGAAATAAACATAAGTTAAGCGTCATATAATAACAACACACACATAAGATAATGAAGCAGTTGTTGAAAGCATGCAGGTTTCATGCAAGATGAACCATAAGCCCAAATTAAGCTAAACGATCCACTGGCATGAAGGTCATACAGAAACAAGACCCACGTGTAAACCTAGCTTAAAATTACAGCTGTAAGTCGCAGTTAATGGAAATTATGTATTGCTTGGTCTTTTGAATGCTGAGACATAATAAAGGACAATGTACATACAGTATTCTAAGTCTCCGACATCGTGTTTGTGTTTTATCCAGGATCCTCTGTGCTGCTGCAGAGAGCAATCTCCGCTGTTATTTCTCGGCAGATGCAGTCGCCATGGACACCACCATATTTAAAAAATAAGGGCGTCACATGGCGGGGGAAACCACCTACTTGGCAGAGAGAGGTAGGCCTAATATGGCCACGTTATGAGTTGATTTCATGCTGTAATATTTTTGATAGAATTGGGGCGATGGGGTAGTCTAGTGGTTAAAGTGTTCGCTTGTCACACTGAAGAAATGGGTTCGATTCCCCACATGGGTACAATGTCTGAAGCCCATTTCTGGTGTACCCAGCCATGATGTTGCTGAATATTCCTGAAAGTGGCGTAAAACCATACTCACTCACTCAGTCACTGATAGAATAACTAGTTCTTCTGTAGATGTTAATTGTTTTGTTCAGTTTTAAGTCAATAAGTTTTAAGTAAAACATGTTTACCCAGAAAGACAGTGGTTGTGTATCCAGTCTACTTCAAATAGTGTCTGTTTATCACCTCTCACCTCATCGAGTCACCACATACATTTAGATTGGGATAACATTGCTGCACCCAGGGTAGTGCTTGGCCAAATATACAAAGAAATATATGATGTAAATGTACCTTTGACTTGTACCCCACAGAGTGCATGTTGCATGCATAACTTCCATGCATCACACCTGACTGCACCGGAGGGAATAGCTGATCTCAGCAAGAAAATACCGAAAGGTAGGATATGTATTATGTGCCATGAAGAATATTACAAAAGTTACAGATTTCCTTTGTCAGCATTGAAATATCACATTCTAAAAGGATTGTAAAAAGTGAATTATTGTGATGCATTTATATTTTATAAATCTTGAACTAATGTTGTTGAGCTCATGTAGTTAACGTAATGTGTGATGTGTCCTCTGGCTACCGACCTTGGTTGTCATGGTAATGCAGTGTTCATTATTACTGTCATTTCTGAAGCAACCTTTCCTCAATCCAGAGCTGCGAGCCTACTACAGTCAGAGCCTCCCATTTGTTACAAAGCAGACGTTGCACCATTTTGACACTGCACCCTCTGTGATTGAACAGAACTCGTGTGAAGTTGTAGCGCACCAGGAGTGGGAGACTGAGTGGAACCAGTCGGGGCTGGCATCCAGGCTGTCCCAGCAGGTAGGTGGTAGTTGTCACCATAGCAACAACATTCATCCAGGCTGTCCCAGCAGGTAGGTGGTAGTTGTCACCATAGCAACAACATTCATCCAGGCTGTCCCAGCAGGTAGGTGGTAGTTGTCACCATAACAACAACATTCATCCAGGCTGTCCCAGCAGGTAGGTGGTAGTTGTCACCATAGCAACAACATTCATCTAGACTGTCCCAGCAGGTAGGTGGTAGTTGTCACCATAGCAACAACATTCATCTAGACTGTCCCAGCAGGTAGGTGCAAATTGTTTTCACAGGAACATTCAACCAGGCTGTTCCAACAGATAGATGCTTGTTGTCATAGCAATGTTTGAAAGCTTTTCCAGTTTGTAAGTCATCTAGACTAATCATCATATGAAGACTTGGACTTTTGTTATTATTTTGCACAGAATTTTCTTTGTATATAAAATGGATTACCATTTTCATTTATGACTCTTTTTCATACAGCAAGCTACGTGCCTTAAGAACGGAGACTAATCAGTATCACAAATTGTAGTTGTAGAAAAGATGATTCTCATTTACTTGTGTACTTTCTTTATAGGAATTCCGAGCCAAAAAGAAACTGAAGATACAGCGAATGATATCTGACCGTCTGCGTCAGGACGCACAGAGGCGAGAAGGAGCTCGGGAAGCAGACATGCTCCGTGACCTTCAACAAGTCATTTCCTCTATCAGCAATCCGAGCCAAGTCGGGAGTCAAAACGAAAGGCTCACGGTTTGCTCATACAGAAAAACTTATGTTTGGAAAGGTAAACATGTTGGTTGGGAGATATTCAGTGAATGTGTCCCAGGACTTGGGAATAATATGCATAGCTGCATAGCTGAGTACATCATACGAAATATATCATCTTTACCCAGTGAATCTGAATTAACATGATCTTTCATTGGTCATTTCTTCATTGATTACTTAAATTAAGTCTTTGTTCATATATATGTGCTCTCTACAAGTAGATCTCATGTATGAACCAAATGTGACATATAGTTTGTTTTGATCAGGATGATGAGAAGACCATGGCCCAGATTGGTGGAGAAGTGCCAACCAAAGATACAGAAGAGGTGAGTTGCTGATAAACATGGCTGAAGTAACTCTCAAAGACGTTAAGGGCTGAAGTAATTGTCTGTGATACTTTGTTTTCATCATAACACTACACCCCAATGACAGTCTACAGTACAGTGTACTGTCATGTGCATCATACAGGGTAGATGGCTGTTTCATATTAATGTGACTGTTCGTCTCCAAGCACCTTTCAGGCAGCTATAAAATCAAGTGAACATTGATCCATTGGCTGGGGTAATAATGTTCTAGTGCCATGAGCATGTACTTGGTAGATGATATCTGCCCTCAAAATACTTGTGTGTGTGCCTTTTATTGTAAACAGCTATGACCTACCAGATTTTAACAGCTGTAACCTACCTGATTGTAACAGCTGTGACCTACCATACTATAACAGCTGTAACCTACCTGATTGTGACAGCTGTGACCTACCAGACTATAACAGCTGTAACCTACCTGATTGTAACAGCTATGACCTACCAGACTATAGCAGCTGTGACCTACCTGATTGTGACAGCTGTGACCTACCAGACTATAACAGCTGTAACCTACCTGATTGTAACAGCTATGACCTACAATACTATAACAGCTGTGACCTACCAGACTATAACAGCTGTAACCTACCTGATTGTGACAGCTGTGACCTACCAGACTATAACAGCTGTAACCTACCTGACTGTAACAGCTGTGACCTACCAGACTATAGCAGCTGTGACCTACCTGATTGTGACAGCTGTGACCTACCAGACTATAACAGCTGTAACCTACCTGATTGTAACAGCTATGACCTACAATACTATAACAGCTGTGACCTACCAGACTATAACAGCTGTAACCTACCTGATTGTGACAGCTGTGACCTACCAGACTATAACAGCTGTAACCTATCTGATTGTAACAGCTATGACCTACCATACTATAGCAGCTGTGACCTACCAGAAACAGCTGTAACCTACCTGATTGTAACAGCTGTGACCTACCAGACTATAACAGCTGTAACCTACCTGATTGTAACAGCTGTGACCTACCATACTATAACAGCTGTGACCTACGAGACTATAACAGCTGTAACCTACCTGATTGTAACAGCTATGACCTACCATAATATAGCAGCTGTGACCTACCAGAAACAGCTGTGACCTACCAGACTATAACAGCTGTAACCTGCCTGATTAGAACAGCTATGACCTACCAGACTATAACAGCTGTGACCTACCAGACTATAACAGCTGTGACCTACCAGACTATAACAGCTGTAACCTACCAGACTATAACAGCTGTGACCTACCAGACTATAACAGCTGTGACCTACCAGACTATAACAGCTGTGACCTACCAGACTATAACAGCTGTGACCTACCAGACTATAACAGCTGTAACCTACCAGACTATAACAGCTGTAACCTACCAGACTATAACAGCTGTAACCTACCAGACTATAACAGCTGTAACCTACCTGATTGTAACAGCTGTAACCTCCTCCTGATTGTAACAGCTATGACCTACCAGACTATAACAGCTGTAACCTACCTGATGGTAACAGCTTTAGCCTACCAGACTGACAGATATGACCTACCTGATTGTAACAGCTGTAACCCTCCTGATTGCAATAGCTGTGACCTGATTGACTGTCTGCCCTACGTGACTTTGACAGGTGTTACTTACTTGACTGTGACAGCTCTGCTGTACTGGACTGTGATTGTATATATATCTGATTGTAACAGTGAACTACCTGATTCTGACATCTGTGGCCTGTCTGACTGTGACATCTTTGACCTACCTGACTGTAGCAGCTATGACCTGCCCGATCGTTGCGTGTTTCCAGGAGCAGAAACAGAAACGAGAGGAGGAGGTTGAGTCTCTGCGTGCGGAGTTGGGGGAGCTGGCGTCACGACTTGAACAACTGGACACTGAGAACCGCAAGTTTGCAGCCAGTCAGCAGCAGATGCAGGACGCCATAAGTACGGATACTCGCAAGATGGATGACAAGGAGCAAGCATACAGGGTCAAGAAGAGGACACTAGATCTGCTACCTGATGCTGAGAATAACATAGCCAAATTACAGGTGAGTGTCAAGAAAGTACACTCTGCTACCTGATGCTGAGAATAACATAGCCAAATTACAGGTGAGTGCCAAGAAAGTACACTCTGCTACCTGATGCTGAGAATAACATAGACAAATTACAGGTGAGTGTCAAGAAAGTACACTCTGCTACCTGATGCTGGGTATAACTTGAAAAAAATCATTTTAAAATATCAGATCTTTAGTTCAAAGTTATCTGAGCATGTTCATGTGCATGCTTTGTTTCGTTAAGTTTTGCAGGTATGTACATAGTTGTTTATATCAAAATATCAATCACCGAATTGTCTCATCCAGTCTTTGTGATACTGTAAATCATGAAATTAATGCGAGCATTTTATTAATGCGAAAAATGCGTCTGTACTCTTCTCGCATTATTATAATGACGCATTTCAGTCTGACCATGTCTACTTAATAAAAGACAGAAAACGTAAATCTGTTGACAGTACACATTACACCAATACAGGTCACTTCCACATTACAGGTATCTCAAACCACATGTAATTATCACTGGTTACAATCACTGGTCGTTGTTTAAAGTCACTCAAGCACATCAGCCAGACCGGACATTCTCCAGCCTCGTGTTTGTTGTACCTTGGTAGATGACTTGTGTCTTTCAAGTCGGATTACGTTTATACATGTTGTCATAAGACAAGTAGTAGCAAGCAAGCTTGTGATCAAACATGGCAGCGTAATCAAAACATCGTCAGCTCATTTCCATTCGTTGTTTAACAAGCTCAATTCATGTTATTTGGTAAATAACAAGTGTGAAAAGAAAAAGAATAACACCAAAGATTCAGGGTGTCACATTTTATCATCAACACAGATTCCTGAGCTCGCATTAATTTCGTGACGCATTTTAGTCTAGACCCTAGCAATCGCATTAAATTCGTGACGCATTAATTTCATGATTTACAGTATACCATTGTCATATGTTTTGTTTGTATTAAACACTGAACAAATACTAGAATGTACCAGTAGTTGTAATGTGTTACTAATCTCACTGTGTGTGACTACCATGAGATGATGGGGATTATTGCTCAGACTAAATCCCCATCAACCAGTGCTGGTTGTGAAAGGCTGTCTGTGTTGCAGGAACTGGTGGACAATAGTGGCAAGAAACTGATCCTCCTTGCATCCAAGTGGGAGGAACACAGGGCGCCACTCATCGACCAGTACCGAGAACTCCGCGACCTCAACTCAAAGAAAGAGGTGGGACAGATTTGTAGCATACCTTCAGTTGACATGATATATCCAAGAGTAGCTGCTCCTCACACTGTTATTGTAAAGGAACTTTTCTACCACTTTGGGGTATTTGGGTGTATGACAGTTTTTTGACAGAGTTAGGAGTTTTAATTGATCACATTAATAGATATTTAACAATGAAGTGATTTTTGTTCCTTATATTTTGCGTAGGAATGTAGTGATGAATATATTTATAAATGAAGGCAGTGTCTTTTTCCCATAAATAATTTGCTATTATATTCTGGTTTGTAAACATGTTAAAAAACAATGAGATGGTGTCCACAATCATCAAGTGTATCCTTTCTACAGTCTGTTTTGATATATGCCATGGACCCATTTGCCTTGTTTTCTTTTTTAGGCCAGTTTGAATGACAGCTCTATATATAGCCCTCCAGTCAAATTGACACTGTCAACTTCACAGTCTGATACTTGCCAATGTTGGATGTATACATATTGTGTTTTCAGTCCGAAGCCCAGAAGAAACTGGAGGAGATCAAGGCATTCCGTGCTCGAATGAAGGAGGTCGCTGATGATACTCGCCACAAAGAGGAGCTTCACAAACAACTGGTCAGTCCTCCCTTATATCAACCAGGTTGTGGTTAGTCCTCCCTTATATCAACCAGGTTGTGGTCAGTCCTCCCTTATATCAACCAGGGTGTGGTCAGTCCTCTTTTATATCAACCAGGTTGTGGTCAGTCCTCCCTTATATCAACCAGGGTGTGGTCAGTCCTCCCTTATATCAACCAGTGTGGTCTCCTCCTTTATATTATATCAACCAGGGTGTGGTCAGTCCTCCTTTTATATCAACCAGGTTGTGGTCAGTCCCTCCTTATATCAACCAGGGTGTGGTCAGTCCTCCCTTATATGTGGTCAGGGTGTGGTCCTCCTTATATCAACCAGGGTGTGGTCAGTCCTCCCTTTATCAACCAGGGTGTGGTCAGTCCTCTATTTATAAGTCCTCCCCTCATATATATATCAACCAGGGTGTGGTCAGTCGTGATATATATCAACCTCCATGAGGTTAATTTTCGGTTGATATCAAAGCTACTGCCCAGTACATGTAGTATGGTGGCAGTCAACTAACATTTTGCTGATCAGGATTCTGAAGCAACATGATGGCAGACCTTCTTGCTCATGCTATCAACCACTGTTTCTTATGACCCTGTGATGACTACTCCCTGTTTGCTCTGTACTGAACCCGTGAAGATCCTGGTTAGAATTGATCGTCAGTAACCTATGCTTGTCGTAAGAGGCGACTTGGGTGGTCAGGCTCGCTGACTTGGTTGACACATGTCATCGGTATCCCAATTGCGTAGATCGATGCTCATGCTGTTGATCACTGGATTGTCTGATCCAGACTCCATTATTTCCAGACCGACGCCATATAGCTGGAATATTGCTGAGTGTGGCATAAAACTAAACTCACTCACTTACTCTGTACTAAGATACTAAGGCCTACTGAAAATCAAATACAAAAAAATTGAGTTATAAGATCTTTTAATCACCTACAAGCACAATAATATCACTTGTGAGCACACAGTTCAAATTTAGCATTCTTGTCAGTGTTTGCAAAAGGAACTAATGAAAAGTAGTAAATTTCAGAACATGTATAACATGTAATTTCATCTTACAGTTTTTTAAAATATATTTGAGGGTTTAAATATTTTCTCCTCTTGTCTGAGAGATGTCACTCAAGGCTGCTTGTCAAAAGTCTTACAGCCATGAGAAAATGTGTGTCCGAGGAAAGCTGTATATGTGATGTTTACCTATTGATGGGTGTTTTGTTTCAGCAATCAGAGTATGAAAGGATGACCAAAGATGTAAACAGGTCAGCATATACACGGAAAATTATGGAAATCGTAGGGAATATAAAGAAACAGAAACAAGAGATAGACAAGGTTTGTTGTCAGTCTGTTTATTGTTGTGTGCTAAGACTAAATAGCAACTTGTTTGTGTGTCTCAATAGTCCTGATTCATGTCAGGGTTATGGTGCTAGGCTAATGGGATTGCCTGCTACAGTTTAACATTGTTGGTCACTCAGACACAATGTGCTCATTCTGAGCCTGCGCATGTGCTTGGCGTGTGTGTGCGTGTGTGTGTGCATGTGCATATGCTTGGGTGTGTGCTTGTGCGTGTGCATGTGAATCTAAGTCATACCGGAACTTTATCCTGACTCTGAGGTGCCCTGCCCTTTGTGTAGGGAAACAGCAAGTTCCATATTTCAATGTACTTTGTGATCTATCTATTCACATCTGTCATATGCTCTCTCCACAAACCATAGAGGCAGTCTGATAGTATTTGAGAGAGGTGTAATGTATGTTCAGTTTTCATATCAATCAGTAAATATTCTTTATTTCATTAAGATGTAGTTATAAGATTCAGTAATCTGTCTTATTCCATTCACAGGTATTAGTGGATACAAGAGAAATCCAAAAGGAAATAAACTCTTTATCAGGAAAAATTGATAGAACGTTTATTGTCACCGATGAGTTGATATTTAAGGTACGTAAAACCCGAACATTTCTTATACTTACTCTATTTGACTTTCCTCCCACAATAAACTTAAATGCCATGATATGACTGGGATACTGTTCAAAGTAGCTTTAAAACCATCTCTCTCTCTCCCCCTCTCTCTCTCACACACACACTTGCTCGTATATAAAAATAGGGTTGTCAGGTCTGTACCCTAGGAGTTACACTTACATCCTGCGGCACTCAGGGACTTTCACCATATTAAAGTGACATACCAGGAGACAGATAACACAGTGTTCCAGTACATGTGATTCCCTGCTGACTCAACGTCTCAATCTCCATTTCAGGATGCCAAGAAGGATGAGGCGGTGAAGAAAGCTTACAGATTTCTTGCTGCTCTACATGAAGTAAGTGACCCTTGTGTACATGTAATGATTGTCTTCATCTGTGAGGGATGTATTGGTTTATTTACTGGCATGTGCAGGTATGTGCAGGTATGTCTTGGCAGTTCCGGTATGTTCGTATAGCTACAATAATCTGCGATATGTTATTCCAGAACTGTGACCACCTGATCAAGACTGTGGAGGAGACAGGAGTCATCATGAGGGAGATCCGAGATCTGGAGGACCAGGTGAGTAGAAGGAATATACATCACCAATAACTAAGGCTGTGCAAATAACCGGTTTACCGGTATTTACCGGTTCAGACATGAAATCGATACGTATTGCGATAGCCGGATTGAAAACCGGTTTTACGACATGCATTCAGAAAACTTTGTAACACTCGGAAATCTTCGGATATTTCCGTTTTTCACACCAAAAATCAAGTTAAGTTCGGTTTGAAGTTGTGTTCTTAATTTTTGTTCAAGTGTTTCACAAAGTTTTTGATCTGAATGTTATATATATATTTACTCATTAATGACCAGTGATCCCTGATATGTCCTGACCAGGTCACGTTGCTGTCTCAAATCTCGGGGCTTTTTTGATAGTGGAGAAACTAGTTCAAACTAGTAACCACTGTGTTGATGTTTTCCTTGTTTCCTTCATTTTAACATGATTAAAAGTTTTTATTAAAGCTCAATCAAGCGTAGTGATTTTGTTGTGTTTTTGCTTTATAAATCAAGCATTAACTCGATTATAAGTAAGTTTTGGTGAAAAAAATATTCTTGCAATATATTGCAATACGTATCACAATATATGCTTTCGAATCGCAATATATCGCAATATGAAAATTCTCTGCAATACCCACCCCTACCAATAACTAACAACTAGTGCAAATCTTGGACTCTACTCACAAGCTCTAGCAACTCTGCGGGATTCCAGGGCATTACAGGTTACCCCTGCTTGTTGTAAGATTTGGATTGGTTTGGTTGTTGTTTCATGCTACACTCAGAAATATTCCAGCTATATGGCGGTCTGTAAATAATTGAGTCTGGACCAGACAATCCAGTGATCAACAGCATTAGCATCTATCTATACAATTGGAATACGATGACGTGTGTCAACCAAGCTTACTGGTGAATCTGGTAGTCAGATCAGTGGGTGGCCTGGCTGTATGTCATCATGTTCAGTCTTTATCCAGGCCTGTGTGATATAGCTGGAACAGTGCTAACATCAGCATAAAACAATATTCACTCACCTCTCGAACAGTCGCCAAGGACCCAGTCCACAAAGTGATCCTGGCTTTATGATTGTTTAAAGTTAGTGTTGAAGCCTGGGAGTTTCGACCATTTTAGTGCAATGGAACTGGACCCTGTCCCTTGATAGGGTGTTTTAGTGCTGTGACGGGACAAGAGGGAATGGGTGTCTGAATGTGTTGTCACGGCCTTAGTTTAGTATTAGTCGTTGGGTTGGGCAGCAGCTAGCTAGTTAATAATTTCCTAAATTGCCATATTGTAACGTACGGTTGTTGAAGGTTTTCTGCTCTTTGATTATTATCAAAACATGTTTTGCTTTTCAGATTGAAAATGAGAGTAAGAATAAGGTGCTAGCTAACTTGGAAAAGATCACGGCTGACTTCCAACAGATGAAGAAGGAGAACTCTGCCATGATTGCCAAAATAAAACAACAGTCATAATTAAATCCTTCCAAAGATTTGTTCATAATAATTATCTAATTCTGATGCTCCTTTTAGGAGGAAAACAGCACTTGATGAACTACCATGAGGAATATGTGGGCTAGTTTCAGTTTGAGACTAACTTTGGATTGCCTTATGACACTTTATCAATACTCTGTTATATTCAAATATGCTGCTCATATTCACCAAAGATGATCACCCAGTGGTAACCTGAGTTTGTGACCTAGATTTGATCTGAAGATGTGTAACACACACTCAGGTGTTAGAGAGTTTGCTTTAGGAAATTTGATGGCAGGTAAATATTGTCTTCGGGAGGTTAAGTCGTAAACATTTCATGCTGTGGATATACCATTCACAAACAAAAATAAATTTCTCCAGGAAATTCATACACTGAAAGATATTTGTTTGAAAAATCATACTATTCACATTTCCACACAGATTCCAGCTTCCACTCCCAGACACACATGTTCGCAGACATTCTAATCTATTATAGGTCAAGAACAACAAATCCTAGTCACAGATGTCGGGAACCGAACTTGTGCTTCCATTGACAATATTTCTTGTCAGTAATTTGTATAAAGTATTTGTTGTTTGTCAATGATCAGGTGCTGATGTTAGGTTGTTCCTTACTAAAGCAGCACCAGGCAATACCCTTGCTTAACCTCAAGCTAACACTTGACTTGGAGAGGTCTCACTTTGACTGGTTCCATTGGTGGTTCGCAGAGCCAGTTTTGCACTTTTAGTCAATGTGCAGCGCCAAAAACCTGTATAAATCTGTACATTGTAAATGTCCATTTGTAGATGCACGTGCATGGCAATATTGAGTACATGAACATGAATACTCATACATGTCTACACATTGAAAGTTTGTTTTGCATGATAAACTTGACAACAAACGTCTCTGCTAATGTGTGATTTCAACAGAGCGATTTTAGTTCACAATAGTCCACTGTCTGAGTTGTATTTTATTCAGAGGACCAGTGAATGCTTTTTTCATGATTACTCCTTAAGTAATGTTAAAATGCCTTTTCATTTGAAAAGATAAAAGTAATTTTATCATTATATTTTTTGCGAAAGGAAAAGGTTTTTATCTAATTGTTGACATTTTTCAAATATTAAGTATATACAGTTATACTGTGGACTGGGTGTGTCTATGCACAATACCCTGGTGTAAACACCCATGAGGAGGCTCAGTATTTATAGATGTGAAGTAGCAGGGATAAAGGGAACTGTGGCATTATACAATAATCACTCATGCTTCTTCGAAATGTAAAACCGGCCAGTCGATGACATCATCTATAGGCTGGTGTGTACTAAAGTATCTTGGAAAGGTAATCAATATACCTTTTGTTTTTATCATATGTTTTGTTTTCTTGTATATGTTTATGAATTATGAATAGCTTCATGATCCACTGCCCGATACATAATAAACCATGTGATACGTTGTACAGTGTTGTCAAGGACTGGGCAAACACAGGAGATTGTACCTGCAGAACACCGGCTTCAAGTACTGTTAGTCTAACAGTACTTTACTGTCTGTGAATATAATGTCAGTGTTAGGCAGTAACAGTCTCAATTGTCTCCTGGAACAGATTCCACTGGGTGTAGCAGGGGTGAGTGAGTGAATTTAGTTTTATGCTGCACTCACCAATATTCCAGCTATATGGTGGTGGTATGTAAATAATCAAGTCTGGACCAGACAGTCCAGTGATCAACAGCAAGAGCATCGATCTGTGCAATTGGGAACTGATGACGTGTTAACCAAGTCAGTGAGCCTGACCACCGATCCCGTTAGTCGCCTCTTACGGGTGTAGCAGGGGATATCAGATGAAGGATCACTTATAATCAGTGATGGCACAAGGTGTTCATGATAATGGTAAGCTTGTCTCATGCTGCAGTTCAAACTTCTCACACTCATGGGAATGTAACTGAATGACATAAAGCTAGAAAGATAGTGAATCTTGCTTAAAACAACTTCACAAATAATTACTGGTTAAAGGAAGTCATTGAATGATATTTTAAGACCGGAATACCTAGATTAACATGTAACCTAACAGGAGATGCTAGCTACCAAAGATACCAGTGTTCTAACCTCTACAACAGTGTATAAAGGTGTGTCTTTATTATTTGTACCTATGTCATCATATAAATGCAGGAGTGGATTCCACAAAGCAATTACTGTGCTATTATTATTGTAAGACCGTATTTGAAGTATGGGAGTTTTGGTAGTCTTAGTTGAAAGATTGTTTTGCAGAATATTGCCGAAATCCGAAGATAAACTGATTTTCAATGAGTTAATGTAATTCGTTACTGAATTAATGCCTGTAGCCTGAGTCTGTTCCAAAACATGAAGTACTGTCAAGTGTCATGGTTGAAACAACTGCATGAGATATGTCAACTGAAAGTGGTTCTGAGTTCAAATCTCAATGGTTCTTGGTTTGTCTGCACCACAGCCCGGCTCATTGATTTCATTAGTGTACCTGCTTACAAACGGAATCACTGTGGCGTTCCTTCCACACGATGTGCAATAACAGGTACTGATTATAGTGGAATCAGGAAACTGAACATTTCAATGTATATTTACATGACAACACTTGAGATAATTATATGTAATGGCCAGTGAACAAGTGTACAGTGTACAAGCTTGCCTATTGTTGATTGTATAAAGATAATGATACGCAAAACACTTGTTTGTTGTCACGAGAACCAAACGACTGATACGTCTCAGTGCACCAGCACCTACATTTACTGGGTTTGTGTACTCCCCAGGGAGTAGAGAATAAAATTCGACTGCACACTGATCCATTGACTGGGATGTACTTAAGCACCATCAGTATTCACTTGTGAATGAAATCTGTGACATTATAATGGACGTTATTATTTTCATCCCTGCCAGTATGATTGATTTCAAACTGCTCACTGCGCTGTGTATCAACATTAACATAGTTACCATGACACATTGCCAGTACATCAGTCTCTAACTCAATCACCTCCACTCAAGACAACATGTGGTCACAGTACTGGCTCTCTCTATGTTGGATAGCCTTGTGGTCACAGTACTGGCTCATCACACCAAGGACCGGGCTTCACCACTGCACATGGTGCACATCTGTGGAGCCCATTTCTAGTGTCACCTGGCCCTGATATTGATAAGAGCAACATAAGACCATTCACTCACTCACATAAACTCACCCACTTGATTGGGATCACATAAACTCACCCACTTGATTGGGATCCTTTCCATGGACCGTAACCACTTGAGGAATGATTTGTGCTTGTATCCCTTCTTCCAAATGCATGTCAGTAATGCAAAAATCTCAATTCCAAGTTCCCAAATGTCTCAATTCTTTTCTCTGTCACTTCCACATTCAACGTTGATCACTGGATTGTCTGGTCAATACTCGATTATCTACAGACCATCGCCATATATTTCTTAGTGCGGCATTAAACTCACTCACTCCACACTGAATGCCAGTGTTGCAAAAGTGAGTGAGTCTAGTCTTATGCTCCACTCAGCAATATTCCAGCTATATGGCGGCAGACTGTTAATAATTGAGTCCAGAGATCAACAGCATGAGCATCGATCTGCGAAATTGGGAACCAATGACATGTGTAAACCAAGTCAGTGAGCCTGACCACCCGATCCCGTTAGTCGCCTCTTACGACAAGCATGGGTTACTGAAGATCAATATTCTAACACGGACCTTCACGGGTAAGTGTTTCAAAAGAGGATATATTATTTACTATAGGCTAAATCCATGACTATGCTTTATAAAAGGTAAGATGGGACAAGCAATTGGTCACTGTAACCTGGCATGGTTAAAGGGAGGTAACTCTGCCGAGAATCAGTTCAACTTATATCACATGTTAATGTAAATGGCTGCACATCTGTACAGAGAGCCACTGACACTCAGTCATATGGTGATCTCAGTGTTAAGCACTAATGCTTGCTGTATCACATGAAACAAAAACAATGAAAGAAGTTGAAGTTTATTCACAAGGCAGTATTTGCTACTATTTACAGTGCCATCATCAAACTATATACATGTCTTACTATTTACATCACGATTATCACATAGGTTCACAGGCTATTTACATCACAAAAATCACATAGTATTTCATATTTTAAAGAAAATACATAATCTTCCATTTGTAGTCATGACAATTCTTAATTCATGATACTCCTGTACAGGCTTTGCTAAGTCTGTTATCAGTAATATAGAAGGTATTTACATATATGTACAGACCATCACTGTCAGAGGCAGAAATTCTTCAAAAGAATTCTGTATTTGTATGTCCTCCAAACAGTACAAATACTTGCATAGTGAGTGAGTGAGTGAGTGAGTGAGTATGGTTTAATGCCCCTTTTAGCAATATTCCAGCAATATCACGGCGGGAGACACCAGAAATGGGCTTCACACATTGTACCCATGTGGGGAATTGAACCCGGGTCTTCCATGTGATGAGCCAACGCTTTTACCACTAGGCTACCCCACCGCCCCCTTGAATATTAAGTTCCAAATGTCATAAAGAAGAAAGTTAACAATGCCCTAGTTTATTCAGCAGGACCTGACTTCCCCTCCACACCAAAATACAAACTGAATACTTTCCCACATTTATGTTCCTCAAGAAACTCGTAAAACTTCCCTAAATCCATGTGATATTCTCTCCCTTTTCCCCCTCGGACATCAAACCCAACCTCTTCAAAAGTTGAAAATTTTCGAAAATATTTTATATTTTTCTTCCCCATTTCTTCATCTTCTTTCTCCTTAATCGCAATTTTCTTCCAATTTAATCGTCTAAGTCGATACCAAAACTCATCAACCTCACTACTAAAACCTTCGATACAAATAACACCTGGTTTACCAGGCATACAAAACCCAGTCACCTTAAGCTCGCTGGCCCACGCTAAAATATCCCGACGCTTGAATTTACTGAATATATGGTGGCTGTAGATCCAGAGTCGTGTGAAGACTGTGTCTACTTTAGAGGGAGCCTTCTTCTCCTGCTGGACCGGAGTGTCTTGTATTTGAGCGTAGTGAGGCAGGTTTTCCTGCAACCACTCAATCAGAGAACCAATACATATTTCTCCTCGGTCCAGTGTTGTGAGGAACTCGTTGAGGTCCTCGTTAAGTTGTGTGTGGGACTCTCTGTTGAGGTGGTGGGATCGCAGGAAGACCTCGGGGGATGCGTGGGGGTAATCGTGGGGAAGATGACATACCAGCTCAGCTGTTTTCTTCTGTAAAAAAATATTTAAAATTATACATTCCATAGATCAGCATGCACAAAATAAGTTCCCACTGTCCAACTTACCATAAATAGAATGTATGTATGAAAGAGAGAGAGTTTGTGTGTGTGTGTGTGTGTGAGTGAGTGAGTGAGAGAGTGAGTGATTGAGCGAGCAAGTGTATGTGGTATATGAATACAACCAAAAGATATGTTTGTATATTGTTTAAATACTCTCATACAGTGTGTAAAGCCCATTTCTGGTGTACCCCATCACGATATTGTTGGAATATTGCAAAGCAGATTGAAACCACTCTCAGTCACTCAACCAGCGGACACAAAAATATGGACACTCATTATGAAGAAATGATATACGTCAATGACACCCATCCCCATGCTGTACTGATTATAAACATCTGTAATCTATGTAAGTACTTGTATGTAAATGGGGGGTAAATAGACAGATTATAGTTTCAGATTTGTCTGAGAAGCTGGCCAGGATATGCTTATCGAAGCAGGGCACTTAACATGGTGAATATGGTATACAATAAGGTATACAATGAATGTAATGCTGCTACTAACATTGGCTGTGATTTTGACGATGAAGCCAATGCGACTCTCCAGGAACTCAGCTCTGATCTTGTTGTCAAGGAAAGCCTGTATTTCCTCCAGGGATTCAGGTCCGTCCTCCATCTTGAACTCCCCTGGGTTGGGGAACATGCTCTGCAACATCTCCACCTCCGACAACTGCAGCTCCAGGGTCTCCTGACAACAACAATGTACAGTCTCAGCCATAGTCACAGTCTCAGCCTTTGAATTATTTTATTTTAAGACCATGTTTTACTAGTTTTACAGATATTATCTCAGTTCTAAATATAGGCATAATTTTGATGTTATAACCCTCAACATATTATGCTACTAGTGACTGAGCATTACCCTCACACAATTTGGGGAAATTCCTGAAGACCTGGGTTCTGGCATTTTGGCTGTTGTAGCAAGTTGAATTCAAATTACTTGATCTGTTTGCTACAGTTGATTAGAGTATACTGATCTAGATACATGTATCAATGGTTATCCTAATAACATGTCAATGTCACAATTACCATGATTACATCTCATGCCATCATTATGAGACCTGGGGCAACAGTTGTAAACTTCTCAGAGTTAAAAGTTAATCCTAAGTATAAAAAATATAAATCATTTTCGAAATTTCCCCACAGTCATCAAATGTCTTTAAAAAATGTGAAACAATAAAATCAGTGAGACAATCACAATGAAGTTAATTTCAGATACTCAAACAGTGATGGCTCTTATTTTTCAGGCAAATTTCATGTAATATAACAGGTACCATTCCCTTCTTCTCATCCATTTTTTATGGTATAAACCACACACCTTTGTATTTGTCATCGTTCAGTTGATTAACGTTCACCCCTGGCTCTACACATGTAATGATTATACAGCTATCAGAGTACATTTCTCTCGCGTTGGGGGTAAATTTTCAATTTAATATTGGGTTATAAATCCAGCAGCAAACTACAGAAATGTTTAGTTATGTAGCAAAAACATTGATCAAAGGATCAGCCGATAATATAGTTGACTAAGTGTTCTTGGCTGATGCTTTGACTGATGTTCCTTCACCTAAATTCTCTGTTGGGGTAGGGTGTAGATTTCCCTGAACATACTATGATGGATAGTGTCACGAATACATTAATCAACAATTCAATCTTATGCCAGCTGGACAGCAGCTATTTTTTTTATCTTAGGTGGTAGAAAAGGGAAAGACAGATCCATATTTCAATGCCTTCAAAGTTGAGAGTTGTTTCCCTTTGAGTCTTTGAGTTAGAACAAGAGTGAGTGAGTGTATTTTATTTTATGCAGCACTCAGCAATATTCCAGCTATATGGCGGCAGTCTGTAAAAAATCCAGTCTGGACCAGTGATCAACAGTATCAATCTACTCGTCTGGGATACGATGACATGTGCCAACCAAGTCAGCGAGCCTGACCACCTGATCCCATTAGTCGCCTCTTCCATGAATGATTCAGACTAATTCTAACCAAGATCTCCATGGGTAGTGGGACCAAGAAGTATGTGGTATGAGACCAACAGAAACGCCCCCTGAGCTGATGCGAGTACATGTCAATAACAGAACTAAACTTTAAGTTATACAGTGCATATTTTAAGAAGATATTTTAAGATACGCATATTTTAAGAAGTATGGAAGGAAGAAACAGGAAGCAACCTACCTTTAAATCTACACTGCTGGCATCTTCATTTTCCATTATTAAGGCCATTGCCATTGGCATTTCTCAGAACTTTGTCACAACTATCCCTCTTTTGTGTACAATGTTCTACAAATACCAACACGGACACTGTCTCGCTGTCAAAGTGAAACAAAAAGTTGCAAACGAAGTAAAACTTTTTGTTGACAACTGCAGGGGAAATATCACGTTGGCGTCTCTGTTGATGCGGTATACTGTATCACCTAAAGCTGATGAAATCGAGGAGGACTTTTTCACTTGACAGACACGTGATCTGGAACAATGTCAAAGTCGTTTCTTTCAGGCAGCTAACGACAAAGATAAGCATTCGTGTCAGTGTCTCAAACTATCTAAGGGAGATAACTCTAAACCACAGTCCTTCATTAAAGCCCACTACAAATCGTCTTCAGTGTGGAAATGCATTAGATTATTAATATTAGTGAAACAGCGCATGGGTATCGAAACTCGCCCTTCCTTTTTAATTGCACTTTATTCTTCAAATATCACACGATCTTCGTGTAAAAGGCCAACAAAAGCGGACGAAAGTGATGGTGAAGTGAACACTATAGTTATCCAAACGGTGCCTGCAAGTTAAATTGATAGGTACTGCAGTACTAGCACAAGAGGCACAAAAGCGGGATATTTCCGATACAGAACGTTTTGAAAGCTGTACTCTTGATACAAAAGCTACTCCCGTAACTTGAGGCCAGTTCAAACTATTATAACAGTATAACTAACTACGAAAATCTTCCTGACGGAATATAGGAAGGTTCAAGAGCTGCCCTCAATACATACCCACCTTTACACTAAGGTCAAGTTCTCAACATCCGAGGGTTTCAACAAAATTCTCTTTCATTTCGTCTAAAATATGCGGAAAGAATTGGAACTGGACACAATCCCTACCCTCAGTTTATATCTTCTTTGAGTGGCATTTTAGAAACTGGGAAGTACAATACAGACAAACTTCGTGGATAACAACTTCTCTATTACGAGTGTGCGACGTTTCGATACAGATTCTTGTACCGTGGTCAAGCAGGAATGCACATTCGTAATGAAGAAGATGTTATCCATAAAGTTTGTCTCAGTTAATATGTTTCTTTTATTAAATTCCCGAATCTCTCAAGTCACCAGTTCTGCAATACCCCACTTACGTTCTTTTTGTCTTGGCAAAAAATCAACTTAAAAATATCACGTATTTACATCTAAAGACTTCAGTTTACCTCTATATATATGTAAAGTTTTTCCAATACAGCTCATCACCTTATGGGGAAATGAACCCAAGATTCATAAGGCCGACGTGTTGGCTTGGAAATAGAAATTTATAAAACATGGCAAATACATATGAAATAATATGTATTCACACTTTGTGATATAACTACTGAACAAATCATGGATTATTCTCCAGAAATGAATCTGAATTTATTTGGGATGTTGAGCGAATATTTGCCTAAATCAGTTATAACATCTTGCTAAATCCGGGTTTAGAAGGAGGTCGTGGCCAAAGCAAGACTAATTAAATGTTCACCAAATGGATTGATTTATTACATCGTAAGGATCATTCTCTTCCCACAGAGGTTACTTGTCATTTCTTCCTACGAAAGATATGACAAGTAACCTCTGTGGGAAGAGAATGCGTAAGGATGGAAAGCTACATTAACTCGGTGCGCCTAGTGGCTGCAAGAGTTGTATGACCCCAAGGAGTTGAGATTGTGCGCTGAGAGTGACATCCAATTATCGAGGAAAAAAATACCAGCGCCTTGAGCATGTACTAGTTGCGTGGATGTATGCGCTATATGAATATCCTATAATAAAAAGGAAGAAGATGGTGATTTTATGACAGTGTCACGCTTTGTACAACATATAAAATTCTACACATTTCTTGTAGATGTATACTCTGCCTTTGGAAACAGGAATTCTTTGAGAAGCATAAATATGTACAGACAAATTCGAAACAACATAAATATTTTGAAAAGTAGATAAAGAAGCTGAAAGCAAAATCAAACACAAGTATAAGGACACCTCTCGCAGGGGTAAAGCAGGCCCTCATGTCTACATTCCAGTGACTGATTCTGGTGAACGGATCCACCTTGTGGGTAGCTCTACAGAATGAAAATGTTGACAAGGAGCAGTGTTGCTGATACAGAGCACTTGTCATGGAATGTGACATTCAGCCCATTATTCGGAATAGTAAGTCAGTAAGCACTGACCAGTGTGTACGAGAAAGCACTGACCAGTGTGTACGAGAAAGCACTGACCAGTGTGTACGATGCTTTATGTGCTGCGCCATATCAGCTAGTACACGTGCACCGAATCATTGTAGCAGGCTGTGCATCACCTTATTTGGAGTTTTTGTTAATATCTCCTTCATTATTCAGAATAAAAGGCATATTTTAAAATGACCGTGGTATTACATAGCTATGATCTAACCTCACTCTGTTTGATGAGTACATCTCTTGACTGCCTATTTCACCACAATATGCATTTTTTATACACGTATTTGTTTTCTCATAACGCGACATCAAAACATAAGGTAAATTTTGACCTTACGTTTAGATATACATGTACATGTATACGGCGATAAGCATCTTGTAAACATATTCATTACGTTGAAGTCACTATAAGTGTGTCATTCTGTACCTAGCCACTTTGTGCTCAGAAAATGCTCCACTTCAGTAATCCGACCAGCAGTGTTATCTTGCTGTGCAGATTCTCATACAGTGATGTCTACGTCCTGTGAATACACCTTTTCACCGACCCCGATCTTTTCAACTTATTATAAATCTTAAAAGAAACCCGCCGATTCAGAGATATCGTGGAGCAACACTTGTCGGTTTAAAAATCCTTCACGATAGCAACGCCACCCTCGCAAAATGGCTTGTCATACTACCTTCCGATATATATACAAAGACTAGATATACAGAAGGTCCTAATTAGATTCCTCATATGTGCACAATCGGTTAAACTCATTTCTGGTGTCGTGTTGTTGCTGGAATATTTCTAGAAGCAATGTAAAGGCATGCTCACTCACCAGGTTGCCTTTAGTTACCGAAGCGTTCGTAAAATACATTCAGGGCTGTTTCTGTGAGAAGAAGCATATATTCAATATCATGACCGTGGACACCTGAAACGGGCTTAAAACATTATACCCATGTAGGGGAATAGAACCCCACCGCCCCTAATATGTTATACCCCTGCACCTACCCACCCAATCCCTCCTCTTGATCCGCATGAGGGGAAAAATAACAACAAAAGATAATATATCACCTAACTGATTGACTGGCTGGCTGACTGACTGATTGGTTCAGGTGACTGTCCAAGAACATCATAACAATCTTGTTTTACTAATCTTTTTTTTTTAGTCGAAGTGAATTAGAATTGGTCTTCAGCTATCTATGCTTGTCGCAAGAACGACTAGCGGGATCGGGTGGTCAGGTTAGCTGACTTGGTTGACACATAGTAATAATAATGCACGTGTATAGCACCTGATTTCCAACCGGTGGCTCCTCAGTGGTGCTTAACAAAGTTAAAAATAAAATAAACAGAGTTATTGGTTGAAGAGATAGGTTTTCAAGTCACGGCGGAATGACTGGACAGAGTCCGTAGATTTAAGAGATGTTGGGAGGCTGTTCCACAGAGTTGGAGCCACAACAGAAAAAGCCTGGCTAGCTAACTTTGTCCTCGTGAAGGGTACACAGAGCTGGAGTTGATCAGATGAGCGGAGTCTACGAGCAGGGAGATAGGGAGTGAGGAGGTCCTTCAGATAGGCTGGAGCAGTGTCACAGTGGAGAACAGAAAAGCAGATGGTCAGGATCTTGAAGGATATTCGCTGTTTGATGGGTAGCCAGTTCTCTGAGAATTGGAGTGATGCGTTCATGTAGTCTAGTGCGGGTTATGAGGTGGGCTGCTTTGTTCTGAACTCTCTGGAGATGTGAGACAATGCCGGATCCAGAGAGACGAGAGTTGCAATAGTCCAGATGGGACGAGACGGAAGAATGAATCAACGTTTTGCAGGTATCAGAATCTAAATATTTTCTGATTCTACCGATGGTGTGGAGCTTGAAATTAGCGGTTCTTGCTGTTTTGAGTGCCTGTGCTTTTCCTGACATGCATTTGTCCATTTCAACTCCAAGACTTTTGACTGAGGATGACGGAGTCACAGAAGATGTTCCCGCCAATAGTCTGGTACTGTCAACTTTGTTTAGCTGTTGAGGTGTTCCTATGACGATAAACTCAGTTTTATCTCTGCTGAGCTTTAGAAAATTAGCTGACATCCAGTCCTGGATGCACTTGATGCATATCTATAGTTGGTAAACTCCATCCTGGATTCTTTTATGCTTTATGCCAATGTACAACTGCTAATCATCTGCATAGCTGTGGAAGTTGAGTGAATGCTGACGAATGGTATACTTCCTATGCTGTGGAAGAGCTGCGAATGTACATGTACATCGACATCGAAAAGAGAACAGGACCCAGCACAGATCCTTGTGGAACTCCACGCTTCAGGTCCCTAGGATCAGAACAGACTCCGTCAATCTGTACGCTCATAGATCTCTTGTCCAGGTAAGATTCCAACCAAGCTAGAACTGTGATACATGTCATCGTATCCCAATTGCGTAGATCGATCCTCATGCTGTTGATCACTGGATTACTGGTCCAGAGTCGATTATTTCCAGGCCTCGCCATATAGCTGGAACATTGCTAAAGGCTGAAGTAAACAACAAACAAACAAAACCATGTCGAGTGAAATAGAACGTTTCTATTTGTTCAGGTTGGTTCGGAAAATGGTGTTCCTGATACAGTCATGCAGTAGGCGAAAAAGCCACTGGCCCGCTAGCCCGTGGCTAGTAAATATCCAATCGGACCAGTAAATCTCCACAGTCACTGGCCCGACTGGCTAGTGAATTTCCATGGGGTCATTTTGTAAATATATCACTCTCTCCGACTTGTTAAGTTATAATACACTTTAAAATCATGCAAGATTGTGGCCTGATAAAAATGTTCATCATATTAGCAGTTTAACGATGAAACCCTTGTCATGCCGACAATATTTTATTCTCATCTATTTTCGTAATCTTTTGCTTAGTTTCTACATTCAAATTTCGGACTAGTGAATTATTTTGTGGGCTAACAAAATTTGGAAACTATTTCGCACACTGCAGTCATGGGAAATAATGTTGAATTGACCATTTAAATCAGCAAGGTATAATATATATGTTTGATAATGTATTGTTGGAGCGTCTTAGAATGAAGTTTATTCAATGTGAATTTTGCAGATTCGCAAATTGATAATCACGTAACAGAAAGGTTAGTGTTATGAATGATTTTGGGATATTTTATTACACCAAAGACCG